CTCTCCATCTATATATAGATGGACTGATTCCTGACACACCGGTGGACATCTTTGATACCAAATACTGACAAGAAGTTAGAGGGGAGGGCAGTGGAGGCATAAGTGAGGCAATGGTCGAGGAAAAAGAGAGGGGAGACATCGAGGATGAAATAGAGGGAGTGAGAGAGCATCAGGAGGTGATGGAAGGCCGTGAGGGAGGGGCAGGGGGGGAGAAGGGCAGGGTGTGAGGAATGAATGAGCAAGATGGTGCGTGCAAGAGGCAGAAAGGGTCAGTGACGGAGGAGAGACTTTAAATTGTTGCTAGCATGCGGTAATGTTCCTTATAAAAAGGCATAATGTCATTGTTGTCAAGGCACTGGGCCATACATAGTTACACAACAGCTGACTGACCAGTCACACTCATGGTGTTTCACTATTCCTCTGCCAATAAACACCGTTAACATCACCCCCAGGAGCTGGAGGAGCCCAAAGGGACTGGGCACTGATGTGAGTGGGTGAGCTAAATAGAAGCAGCAGTGCAGGATATTTAGGGAGGGTAAAACACACCCTATAAGTCTATTACATGCACAGTGGGGCGGCACTCAAAAGGATTTTCATTATCAATTTATACTCTCTGTTAATCGTTTGTCTTAAATATAAAAAGAATAGAGGACTATGTAAATTAAAAGATGTCAAGAACAAAATATGGATAAATTCATGCACGCAGTTCGAAAATCGCTACCAAAACTACTGAATAATACCCAGCGGGCAGCACAGGCTATAAGCCTCTCCTATGCAACAAACCAATGACTTCAACTTGCATTAAGAAAACATACAGATGAAGCCATCAGTGGTTAAATATTAAATACATTTTTTAAATACAGACTGTACAGAACATTTTGTGCATGTGTCTGCATGAGTTTTGTTCTGAGAAAGCCTCATTTGCTATCCTTCTGAATTACTTATTTGACATGACCAAGCACTTCAGAAAAAAAATCTGATTCTGAAATGTGTGCACTGATGGCAAGACACACCAAAAACATGTTTTAGAAGTGCTTTGGTCCACAGAAAACACATGTTCTTGGTGTGCCTGTGGAGATTTTGCAACATGCCCTCTAAACCTGGTGCACTGATGTAAACATGGAAGGAACATGGTATGCAGTACGGTACTCCCAGGAAACCAGCACACACACACATACTTACACACACTCACACACCTCAGCTCCACTCAGTGCAGAAGAACAGAGCAATTACATCATCACCCCTCGCCTTAGGGAGCGAGGCATGAGCGCTGACCACTGAGAGACATGGGGTCATTACATCACTGGCAGCAGCCTGAAGCAAGCCATAAAAGAACGAGGAAGAAAGAGCGGTGGCTGTGTGTCAGGCGGGAACTAGACGGTGTGTGTGAGGTGATCATCACTAATGCTCCGTAATGTTGCCCACAGGTTACGTGGAGGGTCAGGCAGTGCTTGACGCAATGCAGTGACACACATCCCCCCCGGGCCTTTAGTCCGTACCGAGCATTGTTATGTCACATTATAATGCCATATGTGACACATGAAGTGATTTTATAATAACGTTCCATTATCATCAATACTGGAGTTTACATTCCAACTCAAAACTGGAATGTGCAGGTGGTGTTTTGTTGCACAAACACGTGTCTTATAACTGTGGGCCTATTGATAACCCCTCCTACTTCCATATTTCTGTACATTTACATGCACTTTTACCCTTGGTTCTTCATATTACTATGCCAATAAATGATACTGCCCTCTAAATAAGCAACTCTAAATCATTTTAAAGGCAGAGACAACACTGACCTCATGCCATTGTGGAAAAGTGGGAGTCTGAGTGGGCAGTGCAGCTTCGACACTGGATGTGCTATTATGAATGATTTTACCACCTCTTAGTCATAAGGGACTAGCAGATCAATACTGTATGTACTCAAAAAACACAGTTAGCGTTTTTTTTCCAGTGCTTTTGTAAAAGCAGGTATATAAAAAAAAACATATTATTTTAACAAGTGTTCTGTCTAACACATGAGGACAAGATAGAGTGAACATGAGAACTGTATCTGTAGATACAAACTGAAAACATAAAACAGGTCCTAAATAGATACTTATGATGCCCAAATGTATGATCATGAAGAAACATGAGATCACGTACTATTGGGTGGCTCAATTACCGGATTTTGAACAAAAAGGAATATATCTATATCAGGCTTTGAATAAACCAAGAATAATTATAAATCATAGTCAAGTAGAATTATTATGATCCTAATGCCAACATCAAGTTGGTCAGTGACCAAAATGGATTCAGTAGTGCCACAATCTCTATTGATCCAAACATAAAACCGAAGAGATCCCACTAATGTTTAATCATGCATGCTCGGATAATGAAAGTCACTTTATTTAGTTTTATTTCAGATTATCACAACTCCATACATACAGAGACAGCACAATCAATCCTAACTTCAAGACTATAACCAGATAATCCTGAGAGCTCATGACAATGACAGAGGCTTACAGAGAGGCAGAAGAGGGTCCCTGAATGCTGACTGTCTTGAGAAAAAGCAGGTGTAAATAAGGCGGGGGACGAGGACAGAACAGGTAAAAGCAGGTTTTTGACAATATACATGCATGAAACTGAAAGAAACATTTATGGCAAATACAGGTATAAACCGAGGAAGGAGAAAGACATCAAAATGGTCATCATCATGCAGGGCTCCAGCTGTCCTCATCTAAGCCCTCCTCCCTCCCTTATATCTTCCTATCAGTGCTGTACAGATTGTCTTAATGGAAATGACCTCCATCTGAGACAGTTGAGTGGCCCAAACCTGATTAGTTATTTACCTCACTTCCATCTCTCCTTTCTAGGCACTGTGGCGCCTCAATTCTTCCTTTACGTCTTCCCTCCTCTCTGCCAAATTGTGCCTCGGTCCTGCTATAGTGATGGTAATTTATTGTGTCATTTTAAACGAGAAAATAGTCCCTCTGGATTTACCGATTTGACAAGTGAGGGTAGCAGGGAAACGTGCGCAACCGTGGCAAGCCTTTAATCAAACGTGGTGATATCTAAGTTATTTTAAGAGCTCCTCATGCCTTTACTACACGTGAGGATTTACACATCTTCACAGTGGGCTCCCTGATGTAACTGCCTATCTGTGCATGTGTCCTCCAAGTCCTCCAGGAGGGGTGCGATATATTGGCTTATAATTGGTTTATATCAGTGTGCAGAAAGCGGTGTGCACTGGTGTTGCCTGCTGCAGTGCAACGCAGGAGAGAGGCAAGAGAAGATATTTTATATATCAGACTCCAGAGTGTCTGAGCCCACTCACGCCTGTGCTGTAGGTGTGACGCACACTGAAAAAGTGAGGCTGCATACTTTCTCTGTCCGTCTGTCTGTATGTCAATGCTCCTCACATTGTTTTGACAAGCGTGGCTCCAGACCATCATCATCTACATTTTAAAAAAAGATCTCCAGCTATAATTAAGTTGTCTGTATACCGGCACTGTAGTTTTAAACAGGAATTACATAGCAAAACACTGAGGTTTTGATGAGTAAAGATCTCAAAACACACACATTTCTGACACACACAAACTCACGTGCCAACAAGGCTCACATTGGGAGAACAAAATAGACCACCAAATCCCTCTATATTTCTGTTCAGGTATTACAGTTACAACAAAATCTGTGTATAACTCATCCTGATGATGAACAAAAAAACATGTTACTGAAAAATATTTATTTGAAACATCCAGAATCTGTATTTCATATTGAGAGCTTGTGTTCTTTTGATCACGAAATAATAAATAAAACAAATCACTGTAATGAACAGCTCAAAGCAGCACACTCTTTAGAATCATCACTGGGCAAATCAATATTTAATATAGAAATGATGAAGAGATAAATTCGTACTCTGGCTTTGAATAAATATCTAAATCAATCCACCAGATTTTAGCTGTTAAGCCAATTGCTTTAGATTTAGCTCAAATTACATACAGTTCTACTCTATGTTTAGCAGTCACAACATCGTGTTCCTGCTTCACATGTTTTACTGAGCAGCAGGGTCTTTTGGAATCAGGTACTGCAGGTAATGCTTGGTGCTCCAGAACTGATTCTATTTGTAAGGGATTGATGACACCTTGTGGACAAGTTGGGAAATTTCACTCCAAAGCCCAACTTTCTTGAGCAATAAATTGTCGCTTTGCTAAAAAATGATGGCAAACTAAGCTCATCTTCCCTTTACAGAGAGAATACAGAATATGTTGTATGATTATATACCACAAAGCTAATAGGATTTTCTTTCAATGCATCTTGTACATCAGTTAAGAAACCAGAATCTAGTTTAATATGTCTCAAAAGATAAAGAGTAGGGACGAGTATTGATCTTTACTATTTTCTTCGGTATCGACTGAACTGTGTCTTTTTTAAAGACTACAAACATCTGTCCATTTCCCAAAAATGTAAAGATAGTAAGATAACATTGGCATGTAAAAAGTGTAGCTACTTTGTCAAACGAAATGTGTTTAACACATAAACAAGTTTTCATGTCACAGGCAACATATCTAACAAACAATTATTACGATTATGGCTCATAATAAATCTGGTGAGGCATTGCCAACAGAAATTCGTATTTTTACCACATACAGTACAGGTGTCAAATCAGTAAATACTTTATAGAAATAAAAGTACTACGGCCTTTTCTACTACACCAACCAGAAGGAAGAGTCTATAACAATGGCTGCCTAGGAGTTTTTTTTTTTAAGTATAGTGATGCTAATGACAGCATTGACAGCCATACTAAATTAATTCAACTCTCATGACAGACGGTCACGGACACTTTCTCCTTTGACACCAGAACCAAGAGAGATGACAGGAAGAGGGCTCAGAGCAACAACAGTTATTAGCTTGACTCTAACAGGGAAACCCCAAAATGGAGACAGTAGTCCAGAAGGATTTAGAGTGATGTATACACTTTGTACCTCATACAATCAGTATAACAATAACAAACTCACCAAGTATTAGTATAGAGTCTTCTTGCTTGACGTGTTTTGCCAGAAGGTGCTTGAATTTGGAAAAGCAGCCCAACCAGTCAAAACTCTGCTCCGTCTTGTATCTTTCATCCCAGTAGTCAATGTCTTTGTACCTGGAGTTATCATCCGGCAGGTAGTCCATATTCTCTGTGATGTAACAATGAAAACAAAGACATCAGAATAGAATCCATTTCAGAAAAAGAAGAACTGCTTTTACTGTGTACATCTACCTGTTTCAATGCCAGGCTGTCAATTTTCCTTTGCTTAGTTTATATCAGGTAAAATGTGAAGATACCGCCCAAATGCCAAGAGGTCTATAACATAACCAAATAACAATTCAGTTTGTGATTCAACTCAATTCCAAACACTTTATTCTTAGAGGCTAGATAAGACATGTGTCTGTAGCCTACATGGTATATCCCATTATTCAAAGAACTACTGATCTATGCAAGATGAAATTTGAAGCCAGAAGCAGAGTAGTACAGTAACATAATAAACAAACAAAAACATATATTATAACATTTCTTTTTTTAAAGGAGCTGTACAGAGTGTACCATTGACAATTATATAAGAAGATAATATTAGTCCAAAATGTAAGCTGTAAATATTTAGACCATAATAATGATCTATCCTCTATTATTTGGTTGTTTATAATTTGGATAGGTCGATTTATTTTGTGTTCATTTCATAGTTAATCTGATGCTCCCTTACAGGCCTCACTGTTCTTACCACTTTCTTATCTGCAGGTTTTTTTTAAGCAAGACGTTATAGTGATTGAGAATTACTTATTGACAGTGCTTACTCACAGTAGTTTAAGTTGTATTCTATGTGAATGGTTTATGTAGCGTAACGTCTGTGATGGTTGTTTATTTTAGCTGCCTGCAAAAGTTATGGCTATCCTTTTCCTAAATACTTCAGTTTGTGATATTTTTGGGCTATTATTACTCGCGTATGACTGTAGGAAGCTGCATTGCTTACTACACACACGCTACAAATGCAGCTAACCTTTTCTACAACCACCTTTTATTCATAGTGGTAGCAGTAGATCATATTTTACCTGACATAAACACATAATTGTTTCTCTGTAAGGTTCACTGAGAGTTAAAACTCTCTCCGGTGGCTTCGTAAAGTTTCACCATTCAACTAATTAGCTTTATGTCTACTAGTGAGGTCTGAAATGAAATGGGTCTTTAAGCCGCGGTGCTAAAGTAAGTGTAGTGAGATAAGATAGTGAAACGAGCACAAACGTTATCAATTTAAGCATGCGTTAACACAATAAATAGAAACTTTAGGGTTGTGTTGTCGTTTTGAACTCCCTCGCTGTACACTATCCGGTGCATGGCACTGCGCATGCGTACTTTGTATCGCAGGCAGTTCAATTCAAATGGTTTCTCTATACAGTTGATTTAAAACTGTAACACATCCTAGAAATAATTTTCTTTGGATTGCATAGTATTATTTGGCTACTTACGAGTTCCTCGTTTCCACCAGTGACTCTTGAATCAGTAAAAACGCCGGGGCGCGTAACTGTGCCAAAATCCACGTGTTGTAGTTTCCCAGCCTTAAAGCTACAGTGCTGCAGACAGTGAGGGTGCGCAGTTACTAATGCAATAATCTATAGACAATGTTTTACTAGATAGATAATAGATCATAATGATATTTATAACTGATCTGATTACATCTACGACTGGTGCATTAGATTTGAAGGTAGGTATAGGTCATTTCGGAGAAACCAGCTCGAGTGCGCTAGAATTTGAAAATATACAGCCGGAAGAAATCTGCTACTTCCTTACAGAGCCCCTCCTCCAACACACACGAACGCGCACATGACCAATGAGGGCACGAGATAAGTTTGTGCACAGATGGAAGGCTGACAGGCAGGTAGGCCATCCAGTTATTTTAGCCGGGCCGGCTAAAATGATTGGTCGTGCTTTTTACAGTACTACGGCTACATACTGATATACAGTACACCTGAACATCAGCAGGAGAGGACTCTTTAAAGTAGAGACACTACATACTGAAATACACCTAAACATCAGCAGGAGAGGACTCTTTAAAGTAGAGACACTACATACTGATATACTGTACACTACACCTGGACATCAGCAGAAATGTAAAAAAAAATCTACTTTTGCTGGTGCTGTTGCATTTAAAATCAAATAGTTGACTAAAACAAACTTGAAAGAAATCAAATACATAGTGTTGTTTTTTCATTTGTTTATATTTATTATGATAATTGTTGAATGCAAACTTTGTCAACAAGGTAATAAAGTAAGTACTGAAGTAGCTTTAAGTCAGTGTATTGATCAGGGCAGAGCCAGGTGAGCTAAAGTCACTCAATACAAAGGTAACTAGACAAAAACAGGAGGAACAAACGAGAAAGAATTCTAGTGTTATTTTGAATTTGAATGTCTTTGTATTGATTGTTATTATTAGTTGAATTCTTAGACTAAATCTCTGGTGACTTGAAATTAAAAGCAAGAAGCTAAACTTAGACAGGAGAAACAAACGTGAAATAAATCAAACGTGTCAGTATTGTTATCATTATCATTATTATTTTTATATTGATTGACAAGACTTTAACTTAACAAGAAAACAATGGACTAAACATAAATATAGAAATGTACTATTAAGTAAATATGAAAAATATAAGATACATATAAAAATTGACTATTAACTAAACATGATAAATATAACATAAATATAAAAATGAACTCAATGTCAATGTCAATTAATTGAGTCGACAATGTATTGCCTTTAAAAACCAATGTTCTCAAATCAATGCAAAACTGTTGATGTTTTTGGTGGAAAACTTCTTGAGTGTTTTCAATTGCTTCCATATCATTTTCTAAATGACTCCTAATCAATGCAGCATTGTCTAACATTGTCCACCTTATATTTTATATGTTTATGTTTCCAATAGCTTCCAAACCATGTGGTATTTCATAACAATAACCAAACAATGGTCTTTCTATTTTATCTAATATTAAAGAGTGGACGCAGCTAAATGTATTGGCTCACATTGGCAATCACAAACCTGTACCCCCATCCTCCCATCCTCCACAGCTTTTACATCTGCAACATGGAGATGCCTTACTATTTGGTTCTGTATTGGTATTGGGGCTCCCAGAGACCCACAAGGCCAAACGGTGGAAGGTGATCCCCCTTGGTCAAACCCTCCAGTCAAGATATTATTGTAGTTTCCTCCTTGTGACTGTAGATGGCAGAAAAGACCAGGGAGTGTGTCCACAGGGTTACTAACATATGGTGGAATTTAGCCTGTAGAGTGGCATACAGAGAAATCCCCAACCAACTGCACCAGAGAAGAGATACCTAAATCTTGTTTCAAACAAGACTTTAAAGTTGTGTGGCTCTCTCAATAGCTCTTCTCTCCTTATGATGGCCAAGTAACTGAGGCCCTGATCCTCGAATGCCCTCTTCTTTTGAAAAAATGTCTGTCACATCAAATACAGCTTTCAGACTCCATCTGCTGTGCTTAACTTTAACACAATGATCATTTATCATGATGATAACTACTACTTTACTGCAAAGGCATCTGAAGGATGTCGTATTTTGTGTGCTTTAGCAAGGTGGGGCATCGTGCTATTTTCATAAAACCATGCTTTTAGTTAGTTATTTTTAACAAATATGGAATCGCTTATGACAAAAACAACAATCGACACTTACACGATTAGACAGGCCCAAGATTGGAAGAAGTGTAATTTGAAAGTTATATCAACAACTTTGAAAACATTTTACATGACTACAAGAAAATAACACACTTTCCGTTGTAAAGATGAGACTGCAACTCTATTGAATATTGGGGGAACATAAATGCCAGCAATAAACAAATATAGGCAATGTATTGTAAAAGCTTTAAAGCTTGCAGTATAAGAACAATCTGAAATATCAGATGTAGAGCTGTCTGCATTCTTTGAATATAATGGTAATGATCATTGAAAGGCACTCGTCTTCTGGTGCTCTAAAAGCCAAAAAAAACACAACAACAATGTATCTTTCCAGAAATAATGACCCAGCTACTCAAGAAGAGACAAACACCTTGTTGTGAACAGCTTCATGTTGGAACTTTCTTTCTCTCTTCCACCAACCATATCAAGAAAAGAAAAAAAGAAAGAAAAAGACACAAAAAGACACAGTTTTTTTTACATGAAATAAACAAAGGTTTATTTTGCAGGAAAGTAACGTCATGAATCCCCCTGTATAGATGGTAGTATCACACTGCTGTTTTTAAGGGATCACATTTTTTGGATATTGCTCATTAGTGCTGTAAGAAATTCCCTGATAACTCAACAATGTTCATTCTATTTTATTATCTGACATTAAAAAGTTGTCTGCAGCCAAAGTTATTGGCTCACATTGACAATCACACTAGAAAACCTGTTCCATCTATTACTAGAAAGTACAGTGGTGTGGAGATAAAATGCAATGCATCTTCATCAATGACAGTTGCTTTTTCTGTGTCAAAGCAACCCAAATGGCTCATAAATGGCTGCGCTGCCTCCCCTGAGAGAAGTGAATCCTGCATTCTTCTAACAGCTCACAGAGGGAAGTTATTCTGTGTGCCAAACTGAAAAACGTTATGCATATCCCTCCATTTCACCCTCACTGAACTGTAATAAACCGTAATTCTCTAAACTTATATAGCGGTGTGCAGTCGTTTTTTGCTAATCCACTATGGAGGAGAGTCAGTTATCTCGGTAGAATCAAAGCACTTCACATTTCCTTCATCCTTTTCTAATACCATATGAAAGGCAGACTACACTTGTTTATAAAAAAAATAGGCATAATGTTGAGGATAATTTGGTGGCTCAATGAAACTAAATATGCTAATAGTGTCAAGCTTTAGAGTCCACATTTCTTTGTTATGTTCTAAAAATGCTTTTACCTAAACAGTAAAATACTGTAGGTCATTCCCCATGCCTTCGAAAACAATCCACACGAGCGACTGAACTGCCACCGCTATGGTTATATTTCTCACATCTCATTTCATCACATCTCCTATCATTCAAACAATCCCTCAAAACTTAACTCTTGCCTTCAACTCCTAATCCTCTAACGGTGCCCCTCGCCCTTATTCCACCTAGCACTTTTGTTGTTATTTTTTTGTTCTTCTTTACTTGCTTGTAAAGCGCTTTGAGCACCAGGATAAGCGCTATATACATTTAATGTATTATTATTATTATTATTATTATTATTTACTTTCAGGCAAATAAGCGAAAAAATAATTTATTCTAACAAGAAATGGTGTTGCAATAAAGTTACAGTCCTCTCTACACTACACTACTTTTTTGAAAAAATGTGTAGTCACGGCATAAAGAAAATGTAAATCTCAGGAACCTACATGGGGGTCCAAAAGGCAATAGTGCTCTGAGCCCTACATGAGCTAACCTGCAATGGATTATTGGGTAATGTCATGATGGGCAATTCAAGCATTTTGTGGGTGTAACTACATTAACAACATTATGTACATACATAGTTGTTGATGTACAGCACTTTGTTCAACTCTGTTGTTTTTAAATGTGCTATAGAAATAAAATGGATTGGATTGGATTAACAATGTACTGTATCTGTTCTAGCCAAGTGATCCAGTTAGCCATGACAGTGAGACAGTGAGACTGAATGAAAAAATAAAACTGAGGTAGTTTATGGAATTCAACCTTCATTTATTTCATTATTACATCTCTCAAAATGTCTTCTCTTTGCCTATTGTTGTTCTTTTTCAAGATAATCTACTGTTCTAAATTGCAGTAGGCTGTCATGTGTACATAGTGCACTGCAGTCTGATTCACAGCTTAAAGCAGGCAATTGCATACATTTTTGTAAAAAAAAAAAAAAAAAAACCTTCTAAATACTTGAAGCATCAGACTGAAGCCAATGACCTCCATAGGTGTACTGTAGCAGGTTGATGCAACAAATGGCAAAGAGTGACTTGAGAAATGTTTGAAGCATTTCAAAAAATATTCTCCACACACTCTCCTGCTGGGTTCATCAGGTTTGCTGAGTGTGTTTGAATTGAAGTCTACCAACCCATACTGTAAACTGTAGGTTTGCCGCTGCATCATAATTATGTAACCTTCATGCTGGCACCAGTCAGAGTAATACCAGTGATTAAAAGTGGAGCAGCAATAAAACATATCCCTGAACCATTTTAATTGCACAATAGCCTGGAGGGGGAAAAAAGCAAAAATAATAATAATTTCAATCCGATGTTTGGGCTACACTCTGGACCCGATTGGAGATACAGGGAATCATTTGCCACAAATTCCTCTGCATAGTGGAGGCACTATCACAGACCACGTGAGAGGAATATTCAATGACGGTCCCCGGCAGACCGGTTCATCTCCTGGCACTCCTCTGCTGCTGACATGGACTGCTGGACACTGTATTCTCTCAGCTCCCCACTAACGGACGCGGAGGGAGGGCGATACTCTTTCTGCATGTAATCTTTGTCGTTTTTTCCTCTTCTTTTTCTGTTCTTTTTCTTTGATTTCTTCTACAAGTCGCACAGTTAGGGGAGGGGATGGCTTGGCCGTGCATCAGCAGAGTGTGCTGCCTGGCTCGTTTCTGGAACCAGTTCGACAAATCGGACCTCTCCGTCCCGCTCACCATCCAGAACTACTCGGACATCCCGGATCATGAGGTGCGCTCCATCACCAAACAGGTCTCCGCCTCGGAGCGCGCACCCGGGAATAAGTACGCGACCCCGGACCCGCGTGGCCCCCCTCATGCGCCCAGAGATGGCCCGGGGACCCGAGGATCCTTCACGGCACGGAAGGAGCAAAGTTACAAGCCCCGGGAGGAGTATCACCCACCCGGAGTGCCTTTCAACAGTGTGACCCAGTACAAGCAGGATTTCAAACCTTGGCCCATTCCCAGGAAGGAGAATTTCCCTTGGATTAGTAACGGGGGCAGCAGGGCAGACAGTGCTCCGGACAGCCCGGAGAACGGGTACCACAGCCAGGCACACCCGGGGGAGGGCGAGGAGCGGGGCAGGGGGCAGAAGGGGGCAGACCCCCAGGGGGTGGAGGAGAGCAAAACCAGCTCCTACAGGTAGGACATGTCCGCCTCTGGTTTCAGCACTTGTCGCTGTCCTCTGTGTGAATGCTGGTGCTTGCTTTGGTGCTTAATTAGATTTGTGTGTTTTAAAATTCATTGACTTCCATGGTCGATCCAGCAAGCTGTGGAGGTCATCAATTATTCTCTTTGGTTGGATGTTGCAATTTATTTCAGGTTATAGTAGACATCTCCTTTCCTATCAATTACAACTAGTTCAATCAAAGAATGTTAGCTTTATGTTTACTAAGGGTTTTAGCCTTTTTAGATAACAAAATAAGTACAACTGTGCAGTATACTTCACAATAAAAAAATATTTTTGAAAATGTTGGATTATTGTATTGTTGATCATCTTGCAATCACTCAGTTTTTGTACAATCCCTTGGTTGGTCCAGACCCCTAGGTAGAGTTATATAAATAACCCATAGTAGGCCTACCAACATTTTCAATATGACCATGTGTTATAGAAACACATTTAATTATCACACATACTATACATGCACACATCGCACACAGTGAAATTTGACCTCTGCATTTAACCCAAGTAGTAGGAGCAGTGGTATTTCACTGCTTTCAAGCATCAAATACATTGAGTCTTACACTTCAAACAATGCAAATTGATCTCACTGCCTGGTTGATGTAATTTAAACCTAGACTTTAGGAAGCTCTTGCACCAAGCTTTAGGAGACTTTACAAGACAACTTTTTTCACATGATATGCACTCCCCATGACAAATAAACGTATCTTTAGGTATGAAGCTGGTATGATCCCCCTTTAAGTTACTCTCAGACAAACTTTTGCCTCTTCCTCCAGGCAAGAGTACAGGCAGTGGACCGGGGTGAGACCAGCCAAAAGTGCGAGGAAAAATCCTTCAACTCAGTACTCCAGCCCGGGGACAGAGGCCACTAACGTCCCACGTGAGACTAGCTACCAGGCTGCCTACAGTGGGGACGTCCCGTCTATAGGGCTGCATCATAAGGAGCAAAATATCACATCTGCTGCCCCCAACGTGCACCCTGCTGGTGGCCCCCAGCACATCCCCACTGCCCTGCCAGCTGGTGGTTCACCCGCCCCCTCCAGCCTCCACCCGAGCGAGGCAGAGGTAAGCAAAGACAGAAATGTTAGTAAAATGGTGTGTTTTCACGATATATTAAAGCAAAAGCTGCCGCCAGCTTGCGTGGAGGAGCCATGCAATGTACAAAGGGCCCATTGGAGGAGCTACAGGTTTGAATTGCAGCATGCTCCTCCCTAAATTCAGCTTCTCCCGTCTCCCTGGTGGCCTGTTGCTGATGGGGCGCTTCAGAAAAGTGATACAGCATCCTGTCCTAAAGCAGCTCAAAGTGACCCAGCAGTTTAAACAGGCCATGTGCTCTGTTAGGTAACAGACTGCTGGTGCTACACACATTACTTTGACCTGAATAGAAAAGGCTTGATTAGAGCAAAACGTTAATGGCTAATAGTTCTAATTTTGTTACACTACAAAGAAAACCTGTAGACAAGTGTAAAGACATTGGTCTAAATGGAGTCGGGCAATGTTTTTTTGGACCTGCAGCGATACTAAAATATAGTAAAAATACACATAATGTTGAAGAAATGTAACTGAGTTATTTTGAAAAAGTGTCCTTAATATGGCCAGGGGCAGAATGACAAAGGTTAAAGAATCGACCAAATATTCACACGATTTCACATTTTGCCCCAGTTCTTTTGCTCTCAGAAAAGGCAGGAGGTCTGGGACAGAAAGAAGCAAATGTCGGACAGAAGCATAACTCAACAGGGCAAGAGGATTTGCTCAGGATGCTGAATATTCATCAGTTCAGTCAGGTTGTTTCAGATTATCGTAGGATAAACTGTCTGAGGGGACACGGCCCCCTTTCCTCCGTCCCCTCCCTGTGATGTTGCTCAGGTCAGCTGTTTTGCGTGACAGTAAGTGAGACAGATTTTGGGAATCTCCAGAGGTTTAGTGCCATCCCTCTTCCCGCCCACACATCACGGCGCCATCTGCCAGTGGGGATCTGGTCTGGGTCAGGTCTGTCTGGTCTCTCTGCTGCACACTGTGTAGCAATACATCTCACACTGAAGGGTTAGAACATGTGTTTGTGGGAAAAATCTATGTTTGGCGGGTCATAGCTACACTAAGGTCATGATGTCCTTGATATTTGGGAGTTATAGGAACCTGGGGAAGTTTACAGGCTACTTTAGAGGATGTTTTGAAGGCATGTTCCAACATTTTGAAGCCTCAATTAACATTTAGCTAAGAAATAATACAAATGTGATTATCTCCCAAACACATTTTTATTTTAGCAATGTGCAGAATACAAGCCTGTGAAATAAATCAATCTCAGAATTTGTGTTCCTAGACAGGCTACATAAACATAAAAAAACAATTGCATTATCTTAAAAAAATGCATTGTTTCAAAGCTTTAAACATGGCTGTTTTTCTTCGCAACTGACATTTTGGAAACCGTTTTATTAGGTCAGAGACATTCATTTGACTGATGATATAACTGAATAACTTAATTTAAATTAATACAAGAAATTAAAATAACAATTTTACACATTGGAGTTTTATCAAGGGGGAATTGGACTTCTGCAACTTCCTGAGGTTAGACAATAATGATGCAGAAGAGAGACAATTAAGTGGTTATTTGCATATTTCTTTTTGAAATAATGACTACTGCTGAGCGTTTTTGTCCCTCATTATGCTGTGTGATGGTGAAGAGTTCGAACTGAGAGATGTCAATTGTAGGACACAGACTCTATTAATAACACAGGCCCAGTTGGAGAGAGAGTTCATGGCACATTAAGAAGGGATGTGCTGCTGGCAGTGTGATCGGCTGTGCAAACTGCGGTCAATATTACACACACTAAACCCCAAGCACACACATACAGATACGGCATTGAAACATGTGCAGTTTCAGTGCCGTTTCATCAGCTGTACCACAATCTGCCAGTACACCAGCCTGGCAGCAAATCAAGTTGAACTTAGATAATCCACCCCGGTCACCACAGGCCCACACACTGCCGACTCATTATTGACTCAGCAGCCCCCCGCAGAGGTGTCTGACCAAGCATTACACATCCCACTCCAGTATGCATTACGCTGGGTCATGGCACTCTGCTGGTATTTGTCTCTGAGGGCATTCTCCCTTTGTGATGCCATTGTGTAAAATACATGACTAAACCCAACTGTGTTATCACCAGCAGGCGACGCTTCCCCATTTAGCGTGGAGCAGACGAATAGATACATTAGCGTGAATGTATCTATTCATTAAAAGATTTAATGGTTAAGTACCAAATAAGCTGCTGAAATCAGAATAAATCTGCTCTTAATGATAAAGGAGTTGGGCAGCCATGAAATTATCATTATTGCTCAAATCAATCTGTCAAATTGTTTGCTCCCCGACCTAAAACACATTCAAATCCATCTCCACGGATAAGAGCCATCTCTAATTTCATGACACGCAGCAGACAAATGAGTGATTAGGACACGCTGATGCTTTTCATGATGAGGGAGACACCTTTTCTTGCACTCATTGAACTCCCAAACCTAATTTGGTTAGGGAGTTCTCTCTCCCCCAGTGAGAGGTTGCTGCGATCACTCACATGAGAGAAGGAACGTCTGTTAAACCTGAATCTCGGCTGTCCCACTTGTCACGCTTAAACGAGTGCAGCCCTGAACTCTCTGCACAGAAGTGTGTTTTCGGAATCTGCTATACAAGGCAAACAGATTTGCAAGGATGGGCTTTTTAATCCGGTGTGTGTGTGTGTGTGTGTGTGTGTGTGTCAGGGATGAGCAAAACAAAACCGCTGAATGGTGAACACATTTAGCATGCAGAGAAGAAACTCTTGTTATTAAATACTTGGTTGTTGCATAGTCAGCTTATGGCAGCAGCCCCCCTAGATGTAAGTTTGTACTCTTAAAGCTCACTGGCTGCCCTGCTTAACTTCTGAATACAATGCATAGCAGTGCTGTGTTTTGTTTTGGTGAGGCAGTAACACAGTGCACAGATGAGATGGAAAGGCTGCTCACAATAGCTTTAAATCTCGAGCTATCCCCCAATCCGGGCTTTTTCGCTGTTTTCCCTCCCCTTGTCTTTCACTTGGACATTTTCCCTTTTCCCACGCTGCCTGGGACTACAGAGGGAGAGTCTGTTCCAAGCTGGCAGGGAGCAGAGAATTGTGTTAAGAGCTGAGGAAAGGCAAGAGAAGGTTGAGGGAAAAGAGATAAAGCTATGGGGGAAAAGGATGACGACAGAAGAACGATATGCAGCATGTGAAAGATAGGTGATGAGAGAACGGGAAAGGGAGGGGGGGGGGGGGGGGGGTGTAGCTGGAGAGCACAATTTGATGGATTATCTGTTAAAGTGCAATGTTGCACAGGGATGCAGGCACAAATCTAATTTAGGAGAGAGGCAGACCTGGCTACAAAGAGCAGAAAAGCCGGAGTGTGTGTGTGTGTGTATGTGTGTGTGTGTGTGTGTGTGTGTGTGTGTGTGTGTGAGAGAGAGAGAGAGAGGGGAGGAGGTGAATACACTCACACACCAAAGTGACTTGCCGAACAACATGAGCTGCCTTTCCTGCCACCCACTGAGCTGTGTAGTCACATTCAAAGTGCTGCCGGGACAGCAAGTCGTCAATCTCTCCGCGAAAAAAAAGAAGAGAAAAAGAAAGAACATATTTAAAGGCAACTTTTGGGCTAGGGTTTTAAAAGAGCTGCCATCAGCAGAACTGAGCAGCACTAAGCAGGAAACAGCAACACAGTCTGGACTGCTAGCACTCTGACAGCAGACCTGATTCATCTTGACAGCACAGTCAAAAGCAGTCTCCTCTAATTTCATGGGTCCAGTGAAGGCACCACAGCTGCTGCCCTCTCTGCTTTAATGTCTCTGATAACCTTAATAGCTGCTGTAATACCTGCATCTCTCTCTCTCTCTCTCTCTCTCTCTCGCCCATGTCTCAGGATCATCTGGTGAGGACCAAGTTCCCTCCAAACTCTTCAGCTCTCTTTCAAAGCGGGCCGAGGGTCTTCAACATCTGACAGCTGCTCCGATTTCCAACCGGTCCTCTTTGATCGTTTTAAGAAATCAAGGGGAATGATTTGAGTCCATTCCACAACACAAGAATCTATGCAAGGGAATGTATAATGTTGTGAATCCTGTGGAGCTGCAGCGCCACGACCCGAGTGGAGACAGACAGACCCTTTTACACTCCTACTGTTGCTATGAAAAAGAATATGCATGTTAGAAATCGTTTTTTGCGGTTATAGATGCACAAGAAACTGGCTGCTCTGTGTGTGTGTGTGTGTGTGTGTGCACCTGCTGATTTGTCCTTTAGTTGTACATAATGTCGGGCCTGCTACGGTAACGAATGACATCACTAAGGTCACTAAGTGTGTATGCTTACGAGTACTTTCTTGCCCTTTTGGTGTTCTGCTAGAAAACAAGTTATTTATTTCCCTAGTTAGTTTACTATTTTGAGAAAGTATTGTTCAGTCTATTATTTTGTAAATCTATTGTTAAAGAAAAAAAAATGTAAGTGAAATTACAATAAAATAATATAAGGTTATTAGCACTTTCTATGAGATGTCACTCGGCTCTTTTTTAGGCCCAGTTTAAATAAATAGTAGGGGTCTCTGCTCTGTCTCTCTTTCAGGTGAGGGGGTCTTTGGCCTGAAAAACATCATGGACCCCTTATTAAACGAAAAGTATGAATAGAGTTCTGATTGCAGTTAACCACTGTTATACCAAAGGTCAGGTAATGTGGGAGTGAAAGGGTTTTCGTGTGTCATACTTGAATAAAAAATGAAATGTTCTGTAAAGTTTAAGGAAAAAGCAATCTATCCTGATCCAAAGCAAACAAAAATGTTCAACACGAGTCGAGTTTTTCCTTTTTTATTACAAGAATATTGATTATATTTTTGGTTTTGCACTGAAACATGAAAATACAACGTTTGGTAACCTTCTACACTAATTTGGTTGCACAGGCATCACAACCACTCAGGCCAAACACTTCCACTCATCCAATCATCCTCACATTAACATAATGCAAAGCTCCACATCAAACAGATTTACCAACACTACATCAGCCCACAAAACACACACAGAGCACTCACCATCAAATTCATTCACTTTTGTGATGACTACATCCACTATACGCACATATTCATACACACACTCACTACTGTTAGGGCATTACTGTTCGCAGTTATTGTTATTGGATAAAAAAATAAAACAGGATTTGAAAACACCATCTATTTCAAATTGGTCATATATACTGTGTACATCACATGATTATGGTTGCCAACCAGAACACTTAAAAGCACTTTCAACTGAACCTATTTCTAAGGGGGAGTAGATAAATATTAAGATATGTATGACATGTTTTGTTCATTAGACTTTGTCTTGTTAAGAGTCAGACAAGTTTTTTTTTTTATAACCCTTCATAATACGCTGCAACTTAAATATAAGAAACATGAATCAGTTACCTCTTCTCGTGGACCCTTAAAAACAGCGGTATTGTAAGAGCCAGAATTCAGCTGGCAGGTGACACTGAAAATACAACAAAGGGTGTTCGCAGACAGTTGCTGTAGCAACGACACTTTTGGAATAAAATCCTTGTTTAGCCCACCAGACATTACTATCAACTTGATTGATAGAAACTCTAATACCCAGATGTTCATTAGTGTTTACAACCCGCTGTGAATCTGTGCTTCACCTCCGCTGTTAACTGAACCTGTGAACAGGGTGAAGAATCAAGAGGGGGGGGGGGCCGGGACAGCTGTCTGTTGAGGTTTTGTTTTTTTTGTAAGTCGCTCAGGCTTCATTTCCCCTGCTGACTAGGTGGCTGTCTAGTAGGAAACCCTTCATCATTAAAATAATCTTGTTATGAGGTAAGCTAGCGCACAACAGCCTCTCAAAATCAAATGACGCCGGTCCCACGACGCTGCTTCTGGGTACATTAGGACTAAAATGATACAATTTACCCAGTGTTAGAAATTGTTATTCGGCTGCTGTGAGGAGCAAGCTGAGCCCTTTTATAATTAAGTTAATGAATACAGTACATTAGTTATTACTGCGCAACCTGAGGCAACAGGACTACATCCAGATGTGAATGTTCTCGCACTTCAAAGAGTCTCTCTGTCATAAGCAGGAGGTCGAACAGTCCTCACATCCCTGTAGGGGTCGGTTACCAGTCAATGTCTTCTTGTTATGCCTCAATTGTCCTTGGACAGGTAACCCATGTGTGTGTTGGTGAGGAAGTCACAGGTGGGGACGCTACTGACCGCCTGGTGGATGTTCATGGCTGTGATCTCTCTCGGAGCCCTGCAAAACACCAAGTTCATTTAAACATGGCGCAACACACAGGAGACATGTTTTATCACTGGTTTATGACTGTTATATAATAAGATATGAATCAATACATTTTCAGGTCTCTTATTAGTAAAGTGCCCTGTTATCTGACGTCATGCACATGTCCCTGGTTCCTGTAGGTGAGCTGGTCATAAAAGTGGCAGATGTTTCCAGATTTACTACAGAGCATTAAACACAATCTGCTGTTTGGAAAATGCCAGAAATTAATTTAACCTTGAGCCGTTTGTTGCTTTTAGTACCTAGAATATCCCTAGCATAACTGAATAGTCAATATATAATTTCAGATCTCTTCAGTAGGCGATCTCATTCAGGCAAAAACAGCTACTCAATCTTTTTTACTTCAGTTTACATTACTTAATTTAGGTTTCTGTATATTCTGTTTTAAACAGTTATGATAAAATATCTATTCATGCAATACTATTTATAGATATTTCCTGGTATGGATACGTTTAGAATAAGTAGTAGCAAACTGGTTGCTTGGCCAAGCCCTGGATAAAACGAATGAATGTGAAAAACGGAGCATTAGGCAGGTTGCATTATAGAGACCGAGAGAAAAAAGAAATCGGCTGACCTGTTCTGAGGGGATTTGGCGTACGCCCCAGCCAGAGCTTCTCTCAGGATGTCACTGGCAAACTGTTCAGTAGCCTGCAGAGACACACACACACACACACACAAACACACACACATACATACCATTAGTCCCAAAGCGACCCACTCTCTCGTACAGTACAAGATCAAACAAGCAATAATGTGCAGGGGAACATCTCCTATATAGAGTATTCATTCTTCTAGTCAAGGGTATGTGAAGGTAACGTTATGCTGCTGGAAATGGCAACTTTGTTTCTCTGTTCTGGCCTGTATAGTGACTGACCTTCAGAATCATGGCTTCAACAACTGGAGCATACACATTCTTCTCCACCTCGACTGGCTGGAAGTTCACCCCAATCTGAGAGAGAGAGAGAGTGAGGAGACATTAGATACAAATGGAGACAGTTGTGCAGCTTCTTCTAACTGTAAAATCAGTGAATAGAAGCAACACAACAACAGGATGTTATTGGTTAAACCATCAAAGCATTTTCCCTTTCCAAAGAGAGCTTCCTGACCTGCTGTGCTGTGTCACTGACAAACTGAGCAGACATGCATGGCCCCAGGAAGAACTTGGGCTCAGCATCAGCCTCTTGCTCCTCTTCTTTGACCTTTAGTTTCTGGCATGGGGGGGTCACAGTGACGATGTCCACTATCCTGTCGTCTGCCTCCTCCGGTTCAGTCTTCAGCAGAGCCTGCATCTGCTCCAGCCGCAGCACCAGCTCCTCACAGCTGCTCAGGGTCGTCGGGCACTCTGCGGAGCGAGTCACATTCACATTTACATTTAACACACCAGTTCACAAACGGTAACAGCATTGGTGATTCACTTAGTGGCTTGCTGTGTGTTTAAAAGATACATATTAAAGGTGTCCTATTATAATATCTTCAGGCATATATTATAGGTCTCAGAAATATAAAAAACATGTCTATGAAGTGATTTGCTCAAAATACCTAACAGATCACCCATTCTAGTCATTGCCTCATACCTCTCTATTTCAGTCCCGCTAGAGAAGTGCTTATTCTGGGTTTGTAGCTTTAAAAAAAAAAAAGGAAAAAAAAGAAAAGAGAAAGAGAGAGCCGAGACGAGAGCTCAGCTAAACGTTGCTGCGATTAAACGCCATATTATGTTCCAAACCACATCAAGGATTATTTCTGAAACAGTATGAAGCTCAACTGCTTTTTCTCTCACGGGTTTACCACAAGGTGAGTCCCTTTTATATCCTGCTTTTGTTATACATACTCTCTCCAGTACAGCGTTAGCTCTGAGTGTTAGCGATGCTTGCTAATGTAAACAAAGACTAAATTACTTCCAAAACACGTCACGCATTGTTTCCGATATCAACGTTTCTGATAGTGCCGTGGGCGTAAAGCCAGTCCACATTTCCGATATTACGTAATATTGGCAGCGAATCTGGATCGGCTCCGTTGTACCCCCGTTTTTAGAGATTTCGGTACGGAGGAAAAGAGAGAGGGTTGTATTTTTCAGACACTTTGTGAGTTTCCTGACACACCAGGGACACATATTTATGTACAAAAGACATCAAAAAGTGCATTTTGCATGATAGGAGACCTTTAAGAGAACTTTTGTGCAATTTTGGCTCGTTGAACCGGTCAAACAATGCAATAATTAAAAATCAAGATATTTGTGCATGAAGGAGGACGAGGAAAACACTAACACAGATGATCATATTGTCTGGCTCAGGCGGTGTGACTCACTGAGCTAAGCAGTTTGTCTCTCACCCTTTACAGACAAAAGACAGAATTAATGAGAATTCTTTCTGAATAAAACAGGCCTGAAAAACCTGGCCTGAAAAACAGTGAGGCTGCACACCGCCCGCCCTCACACACTACTGGACTGCCAACACATTACTGGACCAAGTGGTATCTGCAGATAGAGCAGTACGCCCACACATGCAACACTGAAGGGAGAATATTGATCCACTTTGAGCTGATGGAAAACCGTGAAATCTATTCCCCAAAAACACACACAAACTCACCGGGCTCGTTGTCTATCTGCGTGAGGATGTCCTCGATGGACTCGTCGTCGTTCTTGCGTTGGGGCTCGAGGTCAGGCGGCGTGTAGCCCCTCTGCCGGCACCACTGCACCACCTCTCTGGTCTTTGGGGGGGTGAGGGCCTGCAGGCGGGGCGAGCGGTCCAACACATCCTGGACCAGCCGCTTTACTGCCACCGCCCGCTGAAGCTACACACACACACACACACACACACACATACCAATATCTATTAGGAAAAACTGTATGTAGGAGCCAATTAACACTGTGGGTATAAAGGTAGGAACCAATGTTTGTGGATTCAGGTTCCGCCGGAAACAGTTTTTGACCACACACGGAGAACACACACACGCAAACACGGGATTACAAACATTTGCTAAGGTATTGTGTGAACCGTAATATTGTGTATGGTAAATGGAAAAATGAAGCAAGTTAAATGGACACCAGTAAAAGGAAATACATGGACTGTATTTCACTGAAAACGTTGTATCGGACTTTTGTTCACCTGGCAAGCTATGTGTGCGTCAATAACGTCAAGTTAGCGGATCCTCAGAGGCTTGAAGCGTTGGCTTAGCCTCTATACTGTACATAAGGTAAAAAGCTGACACAATTCACAGTTTTACATTATTTAACTCTCTGTGACAGATCCTCCCCTGGCCTTGTCTTATGATTTGCTTCAAGTCCCCTGGCCCTTTAGTAAATTAGCGCCCCGTAGATATAAATATCCAGTCTGAGCCTTTTATAGTTGTAGAGAAAGAGAACAGACAGCTAACACATGGACTGGCCTGCATGAGCTATTGATGAACCCATTAGAAAGAGATGAAGGGACACAACAGGCAGAGATACACATCTGACCGGGTAGATAGGAAGCCATGAGGTAAGCACAAAGATTGCCGAGTCAGGGTCCCAGCACCAAGACAGATTACACAGAGAACAAATTTGCAAATAATGCAAATTAAGCCTGACATTATAGACACCCCCACCATGGAAACTGGAGAGCAACTGCTATTAAGTCGGTGCTCTGAGATATTAATGAGTCTAGGAAATACAGTCTATAAAATGCCAGAAAATAGTGAAAGGGAAAAAGGTAACCCCAACATGACAACAAATGTTTTATTTACTAATAATCGCAGCTGTAGTTTGCATGGTTTTTCAGTTTGACTCCACTGAGGCGTTATTCTAACTCAAAGTCACGGAAAACCTACAGCATCAATCATTCAAAAACGACAAGAGAAAGTCACCTCTGATGCTCTGCGCTTGCCAATAGTCCAGGAATAATACTGTTCTGTTGAGGAGGCACAGAATGGATGGGAGTCTTCGCCTAAACAAACAAACAAAGCATTACAAAGCTTGAAAAAACCCACAGGCTTTCAGTCTGATTTAATATATGGAGCTGGTTTTTAAGCAGACCAAACAGAAAGCAGGCTCACTTACTCTTATCGGGCACTATAAGAGGGAACTTCTTCACCACGGCTGTCAGCAGCTGCATCAGGGTCTCTATGTGCTCAGTGCTGAGAGAGAGAGCACAAGAGTCAGATATACAACCAGAAGGTATTCAGTGCAATGGAGAAATTGTTACACAAAAAAACACTTAAAGCAACATTGTGTCAATTTCGCCAGAACAGGAATCAGGTGAGTGGAAACTGGAGCGGGGTTCAGGGGTGTCCAAACTAAGGCCCATTTTTAAACGGCCCTCAGCTAATTCCAAAAGCATAATGAAATATGGCCCACAAAATGAAACTTGTCATATATTGTACTTCTTAAATATATATGTAAAAACATATAACACATGTGTTAAAAGGCCCACTTTTCAAATAAATTCAGTCAATTAAAGTTGGAAACATTTTCAAACAAATCTTAGTTGATACAAAAAAAGCCCAATAACTTGATTACATGACAACCTTGAAATCTACCCTTCATATTTCCTCTTTTCATAAGCAATCTGAGGCTTCAGTTTTAAGGAATGAGCTGTCAACACAATAAAGTAAACCCTCTGTGATGTAGGCTGTTGTGTTTCTTAAAGCATTTTCAAGTATCAAGCATAATTGACCTACATTTGATTGATTTTGCTGACTTATAACTTACCTTATGAGCCAATAAACCTCTAGTGAGTGGCCCAGCCTTTCCTATATTTTTCTGTATGTGGCCCTCAGTGAAAAACGTTTGGAAATCCCTGCTCTAAGGAATTGTGAGAAAAGTTAACTGGCTTATCTGATGTTGTTGCACTTGCTTGATGTTCTGCATTATTTTCAAAGTTGTCAACTCACTAGTATTTGTAAGTAGTTCAATGATAGCAAATGCAGGTGTAATGCTATACCCGTCCATATTTACGACAGCAGCGCAAGTGAATTGCACTCTGAATCTGTATCAGCGCTAAGTCGCAAAAATTCAGAATCTTACGTTGATGTTGCTTTAAGTGATGAAATACATTTATATATACGAGCACAGTTGCACTCGGATGACTCAGTGTGAGTTTGGGTGCTTAAATAAATGTGTTTCTTCACTCGCACCTTTCCTGTTAACAGAGCATAAATTATCAACGCCTCTGAGAATCAGCTCAGGCGCTGTAAGTCAGAGTTGCATCGTGACTCCTCGTGCACTCACTTGATGAGTTCGTGAGCAGAGGTATCCGCCCCTTGCTCCTGTTTGACTATCGTAGCTGCAGAGGTGGGGACAGGAGCGGTCGCCGGGGGAGACGGAGCAGCTGTGACAGCTGTGCCGGCGCCGGGCTCAGTCTTCACTGTGGAGGAAGAGAGACACAGCGGAAAAGCAAGTGTGAGACAGAGATTGAATTAAACAATTGCACACTTGTATATTTGAGGAGAGACATATATTTGGTTAAAGATTTGTTGTTGTTGTTGTTGTTGTAGAGAGTACTGGATGAACTCGTGTGGGGAGATGAAGCCGGGGGAGGAAGGTATCTCCCTGAATCCTGAACATTGGAACCAACTAAAAGACTATATTTGAGAAATGTATGAAGCCATTAAGAGAATATAAGCATTCCTTAAATGTAACTGTTTAACTTTTATTATGTGAGTTGGGTAGTCCTGTTTGTAGAAAGCCTGTTGATGTTTTCTAATGGGCTCCTTTAGATTGTAGTTTTGTAGATGAACTTGTGTGTGAGTGAACTTGTTTTATAGCAGCTGACGTAAAGGGTGTGTGGGAGATTAGGTGTGGGATCAATACAGTTGCTGGGAGTTAGTACAGCAATGTTTGACCTCTATCAATGTATTGATAAAAAAAAACGAGGCACTAGCTTAAAATTGTTCAATGTGTAAGTTCCTGTTCACAGTTTGAATATCATCTCCATATATTATATAAATGTGTTATTAGTACCAAAACTCGGTACTGTATTGTCTTTTCTTTCCAGTTTTTAGATAGAATGGTAGAAAATGGAGGTGGGAATAAAGGAGTGAGGGAGGGGAGTGGGGATGGACCCCTCTCACCTTGTGCCAGAGGCAGGGCAAGGGAGGGGGACGCCTGTCTGCCAGGACTTGGGGAGGCTCCAGCTGCTCCAGGGGTGGAGGAGGAGGAGGGAGTAGTGGAGACTGGGCCTTTAGACATTACTATACACAGAAGAAACACACACACACACACACACACACACAGGATGGATCAATGGCCCATTAGGTAAATGGGCTTAAGAGTTGGATGAAAAATGTGAGGAGAGGAAGATGGTTTACCGCAGAGAGAGAGAGAGGAGAATCTGCAGTGGATGTCTGAGCCTCTGTCTAAGATGAATGACACAATATAGATGTATACCATATAGAATGGAAACTGAATGAATCTTCTGCTGGCTACTTACACTCTCAGAATCCTTTGCTTTATTTCAATATTTGCTTTTCAGACACTTGTGATAAAATAAGTGGCACAACAACAAAGAAATCAATGTCAATGCTGCTTCATGTTTTATTCAAATGCCATCGCTACTGCCTTTTATCCCCTTGAAGAACAGATTCAGAGTAAACAGAGTTCTACCCTTCAATGCAATCTTTGGTAATAAGAAAATGTCGGTCTAAGCTACAGTAGTGATGAGGCAGACTGTTGTGTTGTGCTTGCTAAACAAATGTTTTAAACGGCTGTGTCAGGCGTACCTTTCCCAACAGGCATGAGTATGGTCTGCACCCCTCCAGAGCCGCCGCCCCCCCCCAGCTGCTTCAGCTGGTTGGCAGGGATGGACAAGACTGTCTGCTGAGAGCTGGAGCCTCCTGAGTGGATCTTCAGCATGCCTGGACAGAGCACAGTACATTCAACAGGAGGAGCAATGCGGCTGGACCCAAAATATGTTTGTTTAAATAATTTAACAGATGAGAAAAACAGTATTTATATAAAGTTAGAACAGATCTGATCCTATATTGGAATTCCAGGTACCAATCCAGATTCATCCATGGCCAAAATGTTTTGATTAATTTGTAATAAAGTGGTTTTTACTAACTATCATGTAGGCCTCATATCTTTTTGTCTCCCAGAGTTAGATGTACAAGCGGGGTTTAAACTTTAAAATCAATTGTAAATGCAATATTCTGCAACTAAGTGAGCTAGTAACAGTTGGCTAACTCAAACAGACTTTTTTTTAGAACCAAAACAAAAGAAAGGACAGCAACTTATAACGTCTGTTCAGCCAAAATTCCAATTAATAAAAGTTGTGCTGAACTACACTAATTAAAAAAATAAAATATCTGTTTCAGTAAATGTAAGTATAGAATCGGATTGTGACCTAAAAGAGACTGGAAAGTTCATCTCTAAATGCATACCTGAGAGAGTAGCACCCGTCTTTCCTCCTGCTGCTGCCATTCCGGTGACCAGCGAGGCGGCATTGACCAATGACTTGCCGCTGCTCTTGGGCACACCCCCCACAGTCCCCGCCCCTGCACCCTTGGACATGCTGACCACAGGCATGTTGGTAATGCCTTTGGCCACAGTAACTAAAGCTCCAGTTGAGCCTGCAGCACTTTTCGTCATGGTGGCAGAGTTTCCGGCTCCCTTGACCAGCGAGGCCACGGCCGCCTTGGATAGGCTGCCTCCAGCGGCCGCAGCTGCTGCAGCACTGGCGCTCTTAGCTGCATTGATCACTGCCGCTTGATTGGCTGCCACCAGGAGCGAGTGATGCTGAGAGGCAGGTTTCCCGCCATCGGCAGCCTGCACACACAGAAACACAGCTGTCAGCCCGGAAGTAAACACAAACACTTGTTTTCTGTCATTTTGACCTTTATCGATGTGTGTGTGAGTTAAGCTAACCCTGAGGGAAGCTACGTTTGAAAAGACAGTCATGGAGTTTTAACTTAATGATACAGAGGTAAATTAAAATGATTTATTATACAAAATAAAATAAAAACGTTATTTTGGAGACACATTTCATTTAAAATCACTTGCTTTAGGCATTGAATAAACACTTTATGGGGTGACACGTCTTATCGCTTCTGCAGTTACATCACAGAGAATGTGTATGTGATATGGTAGTTGTTATTGTGTGAACAGTTTAAAAATACACATTGTTTTTTTAGAAGGGCAGATGAGACGTGCTGGGAAACGTATTTCACTGTGGCAGGACTTTGGGTACAGTGCAGCTCTCCGAGTGAGATGTGCCGATCAGGTCACTGGTTTTATGGTATTCGCAGAGACAAAAGAGTCAATTTCTCTGACGAAGAATCCTCATGATTCAATTAACAGTCCTGAAAGGGCAGTTTTTCCAAAACAGGAACAGCAGTGATGTATCCCTCTTTTGTATTTGCGTCAACATCTTCTGGGCATTTAGTGTTTTTCTCTGTATCATACTGTTACATATTTTATTTTGCTTGTTGGAGCCTCTAAGAAGTATTTTTGTGTCTTTCCATTCCCCGAGTTAATGAGGCCTGGCCACAGACTCTGAAGTCATAATCACCCAAACACACCAATGCTGATGTACCGTGCAGGGCTCTTCACACATCTCAACTAACTGACAAATACACAACACTCACCTTTCTACTGCACTCACAATGTGTCACTCCTGTTATCCATCTATTTAAACTGCAGTGGAAAACCACTAGAACATGTATCTCTCACTTGTGTAAAAGCATAAAAACGACATTGTATGAACTCGGACTAGTCATCTGCAATAGCATCCTTCATCACAATGAAATAAATTCCCTGTTCACCGAAAAAAAACATTCATAACGATTATTTTTGTGGGAAATATTAAATAATTTTTTTTAAATCAAACTGGATTTGGTGGAAATGTACCAATATCTAAGTTATTGGAAACATAAACAACCAGTTTGCCAGCATAAACAAAAAAAACGTCTAACATTTTGAAGGTAACAGCCCTTTGGTTTGCAATGACTTTGAAAAAGAAACAACTGTCAGACAGAATAAAATGGAAGAATATGACGACTGGGGAACTAGCCTGTTGTTGACCGGCTGCTGCGGCGCTGACGGGGCCGGGGGTGGAGGAGGCGGCAGTGATGACTCCGCCTGTCATCCTCAGTGTGGTCGTCCCGGGCTTGGACAAGTGGCCTGCTGCTGCCGCGGTGACCGTCTTAACAGAGCCGTCGGACAACTTCACCTGGGCACCCTGGGAGCCGCCCACCACCTGTCAATCATTACAATCACAATGTTGAACAGGAGCTGCCATTCAATTACAATCCACAACAGTGGACATAATTAAATGGAGAGGAAGCAAGTAAAGTGGCAAAAGATGAATTAGCACAGTGGGAGTGCTACTTCAGATACCAATTCTGTAACAAGCCGTAGCATATTTTTACAAGGCAAAAAAGTAAGCTTTTAATGTAAAGTCATCCATAAAAGGGTCAGATAAAATGTGCATGTTAATATCCTACAGTGTGTGATAGGGTTAATGCACGTTTAAGACAATTCATAAAAAAGGCAATAAATTAACTCAAAATCATACAGAATAAAATGTTTTTTAAAATGTAATCAAATTATAATAGTCTTATTATAAGAATTGTGAATAAGTAGTGAGTACAGCAGCTTCCCTTAGGATCAGACATTGTGGAGGATCAGTGCTGCGCTCAGTTTCGTTAGCCTTACTGACCTGAGCCAGGATAGCAGCCTTCTGTCCGGCTGTCACCCGGATGGCCTGCTGGGTAACATTTGCTGGAGATGATGCTGCATGGCCTGCTGAACTGGAACCCCCCTGCTTCCCTGAACCCTGTGCTGGCTGGCCCACCAGAAACGTGCCCTGTGGATACGCAGAGTTAGGGAATGGGTAGAAATCCAACATCATATCACTTTGTATTCAAAGTCAAGGCATTGTCATGGTGTTAATGTGACCCACTCAGCACTAACACACTTTTAGTTAGTCCCTTTTATGAACCAGTCTTAAAGCTAAGATAAACATGTAACCCCATTTATACTGTGCAGTCAAAAAGGGTACATTTTCATAATGTGCAGGGTATGACGATTCTTAGCATTTAAAATGCATCTATGACATCAACTACCCTAAAAGCTTACAGAAAATTAAATTAGCCTTCCTAAAAATCAATTCATTATCCTCTTAGCTCTCAACTGGAGTGTGTGTGTGTGTGTTTGTGTGTATCTGAACACTTGTAGATATCACACCTAGAAAACACTCCTAACCCTGAAGATTGATCATTATTAGGAAACACAGTCCAGATTTGTTACTTTAAATGTAAGTGGAAACCTTTGCTGGCAACTTCATTTTATTCTGCTGGCTAAATGCACAGCCAGCAGTGTTCTAAAGCTGACTGCAGGATCAATGCTGCTATAATGAATGTCTCTAATTAGGAACACATCAGGCTCAACCTCCATACTAGAATACAAAAATCAGGATTCACCGAGGGAAAGAAAGCTCTCTGCAGACTGTGCATGCAAGTCCTGCCGTGCCATCAAATATAAGATCTGTGGTGATGAATACTGAATGTGCAAATCAACTTCAGTTTCCTTCAGATTTTAATGAAGCAGTTCACACTCTGCTCAAAACATGCACAGAACATAAATACAAAAAAAAACTATTAAGAATCCACAACAAAAGAAAAGACATCAAAATAGATGTTGTTTATGCCAGAGTAAGCATCTCTCTAAGGTTTGTTTCCACCCACCTGTGGGGTCTGTTTGAGGATGTAGGACGTGTAGGAGAGGTTGGAAGGCAGACTGCTGGATGATGAAGAGGAGGAGGAGGAGGTCTGAGAGCCCCCAGCGCCCGTCGATGAGCTGCTCTGGGACTGCTGACCTAAATTACATTCAGCCACATACACATCAGCCCAAAATCTGATGAACAATCCTGTTATTCTTCATCCTTAACTACAGCTCATTCTCTATTCAATCATTTGTGTTATTTCCAAAAAGTATTATTGTACCGGGACAGATGATTCTGAGCAGAGCTGTTTACTGTGACATTTTTTTTTTTTTAGAATGACATACAGGACGCTGCTTAATCTCTTTAATCTCATTGCGATTTGACAGAAAGTGTGCCGTGTGAGGGATTGTGGCTCGCAGAATGCATTCAACAAACAGCAGAGAGAAAAAGATGACTAGGGCTGACTCACTGTCCAGAAGGAAGTGTAGCAGCCACAATCTGTAACTGCCACCAGCATGCTTCACATCTTAGAGAAGTGGGTTTCTTACTTTTCCCAAAATGTATAATACAGGGTTCATACACTTTTTCACCAATGATTTTCAATGACTTTTCCATGACCAAAAAAATATGACTCTTTCTCAGCGGTACCACTGAAAATGGTTTTTTATAACATGGAACAGGAAAATAAGGTCTGCATATTAAACATGTTGTAAAACAAATAACTTACAGTATTTATTATTATTATAGTATTACTATTTCGGCGATTAGATAAAATATAAATTATATTTGATGCAACTTTAGTTACATTTTCATGACTTTTCCAAAACTTTGGGAAAAATATTGTTTTGCATAACTTTTCCAGGGCTTGGAATTAGCATTTTGAATTTCCATGACTTTTCCAGGTTTTTAATGACCGTATGAACCCTGATAATAACTGACACCAGTAACATTTTTATGACAGCTTTCTACAAATTAAGGCACAGAGGAAAAGTCAGGGCTTAAGTCATTTAGTCCGGATGTTAACCCCAGATACTAATTCAATAATAATTAATCCCAGAAAATTCCCAAAGCTACCAATTTCAAACTTCCATGTAAAAGACACAGAAGGAGAGCAATATATTATAAGTAATGAGTTGTGCAAAGCATCAGCTGAAATAGCAACTATGTTCAGGCTTTCTTAACTCACTTAGAAATTCCTTACTATATAACCTAAGCCCCAACTTTTTAAAGTGGAGGTGGAGGAGGTAGACATTCTACTAAAAGTGAAAGAGAATATTTCCCTGGTCCTGAACAACTCCCAAGAGCTGGACAGGAGTGTGTTAATAAGTAAGTGACTGAAAACTAGAATTAAGCAGCAGCAGAGGGCGTTGGTAAATAACTATTAACAGAGTTCTTTAGCCAATGTCTGCATTTCAAGGGTCATTATAGCATGTCTCACCTGCGCTGGAGGCTCGCAGGATGGCTCCCTGTGGGATGAGGAGCAGCTTCCCCTTCCCCGACGGGTTCTTACTGTTGGTGGTCAGGTAGAGCTTGGTGCCTGGAGGCAGGTTGGCCAGATTAGCCAGGTTGTTGGCTGGCAGCTGAAGAGTAGCCATCACTAAAGACAGCAGAGAAAAATAAAACAATATTGCACATATAAAAATATGAATAAAATGTCTTTGGCTAAACATAAATGTGACTTCTGTCCAAGTCAAAGTGTATGTTTACTACAGGCGCAGTAGCCTTGAGTAACAAATCATTTCACCTCATAATTCTTTCTTTTTTTAGTCTTTCAAATTTGACTTTTTGTTTGTTATTTCATCATATTTTTTATTTTATTTAGTTGTGTATGCCACGTAACAAGGTCATTTTCATAAAATCCCCCCAAAAATTGTAATTATAATTCGCTACGCAATAGTGACTTCATTTAAAACTTAATTAAATGTGTATATGCCATTTTCTTTTTATTGTTATGATAATTGTACATTAATTTTGCTTCTTAAGACCAACGTCTGAAAAGCAAAAGCCATTATCAGACTTGTTTTATTTCTTTATCTAAAGAGCAATCTATTCAGTCAGATAGAGATGTATTACTTATTACAGGGTTCATACACTTTTTCACCAATGATTTTCAATGACTTTTCCATGACCTTTACCTAATTTTCCATGACCAAAGAAATTACTCTTTCTCAGCGGTACCACTGAAAATGGTTTATTTTAACATGGAACAGGAAAATAAGGTCTGCATATGAAACATGTTGTGCCTATCTAAAACAAATCAAATAGGCTTACTAGCTTCTACAGGCTAAAGCAACTAAACTCTCTCACCAACAAAATACCTCGTCAGTTAAATGCCATTTTACGTTTTATTACTATACGATACAGTATTTATTATCATTATCGTATTACTATTTCGGCGATTAGATCAAATATAAATTATATTTGATGCAACTTTAGTTACATTTCCATGACTTTTCCAAAACTTTGGGAAAAATATTGTTTTCCATAACTTTTCCAGGGCCTGGAATTAGCATTTTGAATTTCCATGACTTTTCCAGGTTTTTAATGACCGTAAGAACCCTGTTATTATTAATGACTATTTCATGGACCTGCTCTGTGTGTGTGTGAACTCTGACCTCCACTCTTGCCACTTGACCCCCCGGTCGCCTTGGCAGCCGCCTGCTGTCCAGAGAGGCCACTGGCTCCGCTGACGATGGCTTTAGCGACGCCCTGAGCCAAAACCTGCTTCCCACCCATCACCTTGGATACAGAAGGGTTGCCCTTGGCGACCAGAATTTGTCCACTGCTGATAGCTACCTGTTTGACTGCAGACTGGAGCGTAGAGCTAACTGGGATGCCTAACATCTAGAAACAAAAGAAAAGTTTCGAAGAAAATGTTACTGTTGCATATCACTATTAATATAGAAATGATTGAAATGTGATCGTGTGTGCGTATATGCAAGGGTCCGACCTTGCCAGTTGTGGTCCCCGTGGTCCCTCCTGTCTGTTTCTGGGCCGACATGGAGATCATGTGACCTCCCTTCACTGCGACAAACTGGTGTGCTGCTGTAGCGGCAGGCTGCTGCTGGCTGGTTACTGTGGAAACCATCTGCTGCTGCTGTGTCGAAACTTCCCCTGGCTCCTGCTTAATAATAACCTGCAAAAACAGTGAGTGAACATGAAGCAAAGGAATAAAACAGCCCTAAAACCAAAACAAGTTATAGATGTAGTAGCTGTTATCTAACAAAAAAGGATCATTTAGTGATTAATGAAACCATTTGTAAAATCACGACCCCCTTATTCTTTTCCTAAAGGCAACAGACGCAGAGCAGTGAGGAGATATGTTTCCTAAAACATATTTTTGAAAATCAGCATCATCATTTATTCATCAAGAACATTTTTTTGTATTCTCTTTATTCTCCATCTGTTCCCATCTGCCCTGGCCTTTAGTACCACAGCAGGAGCCTATGACAGAGAGGAATGTAATTTCTGAGCAATCACTGTGATCAAACTGAATTTTTAAGTGAAATTATATTTAATTCTTTAAAGGTTGTGACGGGATAATGAGCATGTGGGAGTGGGAGGATTTTACAGCGGGGTATTGACAGCGAGTGAAACAGAACCAGGCAATTCTCCATGCAAAGCTCCCCACACCCCCTCCTATCTTTAGAGTGATGTCCCATTTAAATAGCTTGCCAAGGCACTCACATCTGCCGAAGATAGCTCTGTCCTACTATTAATACCTCCCTGCTTTGTTAAAGAAACAGATACCACAGGGACAGACCGGCACATTTTTTGGAACAGAGACGTTTTAGCTCAGATCTTGTTAAAGCGTGACATCATTGACCAACTCACCTTCACCCCTGATGAGAGGAAGGTGCCGGAGTGAAGTTTGGGGGCTGGAGAGCGAGCGCCTTGGGCCACAGACTGTTTGGCAGAGGGGCTTCCTGCAGAACACATTAACACACAGAATAAGTCATGGAGGAGATGAGTGTACAGGTGATGGTTCACTGCAGTTCCTGCCATCCTTTCCACAGATATCAAGGCCCTCGTGTGGCGAGGTGACAGTTCCCTGTCAGGGTTACTCAGCGGGGGTGTTGAAACCGACCAGCCAAGTTGTGTGTCATACCTACGGCATTAAATCTGTTTTCTCCCAGGATTGGTGAATCAGCCACAACACCCACATCATCCAGCTTGATAAAACATTTCTTATTGGCACTGTGCATTTGTGGAGGAGGAGTGGGATTGGCTGAGTGGGCGGGAAAGAGTGAGCAATCTGGGGTTAAGAGCTTCTAAGTAGCATATGAACGGAGTTTCTGATGAGAGGAAGTAAATGCAAAAGCCTTGAGGATGTAAGATGACTCCGTAATGGGGTGAAACATGAATATAGTGCGCAATGGCACTCATCGGACAAATTGCAGTTAATTGCACTTTGCATCTTGTTTATGCGGAAATACATATACACAAACAAATACTGAACTTGACGTGAGCGATGGGTCTCATCCTTAAAATCTGGCCATGAAACCCATCAGCCCAGTCGCCATGGTAACCTCTCATCCAGCAACCCTCCTGCTGGCTCACCGCACGTCATAGTTTGAGTGCAAAACGAGAACAAGAGAGAGAGAGACACAGAAAAAGAGAAAGACATAAAAAAAAACAGGAGAGAGAAAACATAAAGAGCTTTAAGAAGAAAGTACAACGGGGGAAAGAGGACAAGCAAGAAATAAAGAAATAGAGAGAGAAACAGACAAAGAGTAAGGGAGAGCCATGAGGGTATTGTTCTTCATGTGTTCTGCTCTAAAGTACATTTTGATATCCTGTGTGGGCGGCTCAGACACCGCTCCACTATTTCGCTGCAGTTCCACTTCCGATTTCAAGCGGCAGCGAGTGGGAGGTGTGTACCTGTGGAGGCGGCAGATGAGGAAGCCATGCCGATCACCTGGCCGGGCTTGTCAACAATGATGTAAGGGTTATTGAGGACTGATGAAGAGCCCTGCTTGCTGTGGACAGGGGTGGAGGTGGTGGGGGTGCGAGGCAGTGGGGAGTGGCTCGGGGTGGAGATGGGAGAACCTGTGGGGGAGAGAGTTCACAGGCTATGAGATGAATATTGGGATGTTAATAACAAATCAAATGAACATGGAAATGATGCCTATTCATTTCCTCTTGGTGACATGTGTGCCACTGGTGAGGATCCTTGCGTCACTGCTGGACGTTGACCCAATTCATTTTGTTAAATTTAAACTGGTTTAGATTTAAGGATACAGATTGAACAGCAAATGTGGAACTAGTGGAACTCATGAGAAGAGTCTCATTTTAAATAAATCCACCGAGTGAAGAATAAGCATCAATGCCAGGAGCAAATTGTGCGAAATACATGAGACGGATCAGTCGTGTGAATATGGTTAACAAAGCCTAATATCAAGAGCGTTTCCTGATGGTATTGGTATTTTCCCAGCATAAAAACTGAAATTAGGTTGTTATGCGACATGTTAGGCTGTACAAATATCTTAATTAACTTTGTCATATGGCCACTGGGTGGAGACATTTACCTGAAACTATTTTACAGCTCATGGTGATTGGTTGGAACGATTTCCCCGGAGACTCAGCAGGGCTTGGCGTCTGTCCTTGAGGGACAATCTTACAGCTGGCAGTGATGGGCTGGAAGGCAGAGTTGCCATGGGTACCCAGAGTGATCCTGTCTGCAACTTTGGGTCGGGTTGGGGTGCGTTCACCAGCGGTGAGGCCGGAGCTATGGCCGCCTGCAGACCTGCCCATCTCCGCTTTGATGAAACCTAGAAGAGAGTTTTTTTTTTAAATGTATAGTCCATTTCAATCACAACTGGAGTTAAGATATGCAACCTGTAGAGAGTGGGTGTAGAGAGTGTCTACAACAGTCCAATACCCACCAACAGGCAGATGGAGATGATAAAGTTAGTCTGTGGAGTTTGTAGATAACATTTGTTATGTTCACATTCAGTTTCTCACCAAATCGATTTGTGTGTATCCTTGAGGCTTAACAAACATGTTCAATAATGCATTAAAGATATTGCTCGTAAAACATTCGCAAAGCCGATTTAAAATCCAGCATTGCTTGAATCTAGATCTGCTAGCCAGCAGTCATGTTCTTAATGCCTTTACTTTTGCAAAGGTATGTACGGTGGCCCTGAAGTGCAAGACAAGCAGTCCAGAGGCCTGTACTACGAAGCCGGATTTTCGCTTAGCCGGCTGACTTCAGGGAAAACTCGGGCTTTCCGGTCCTACGACGCTGGTTCTCTTTTTAGCAGGCTAGATCTCCATGGTAACTTATGCTGAGTGGCTAACCTCCTCGGGAGGAGGTTAGGTTGCAGGTTAAGAGATCAACTCAGTGAAAGCACCGCCTGCTGACCAATCAGAGCTCCGTGTGCGGAGTTTAAAGCGATCAAGTCATATTACAGGATAGAGGAAATACAGAAAAACTGCCGTTGCAGGAAAGACGGCCGGCAAAAATCAACTGACTGTGTGAACGTGAAAATTAATAGAATATCCCCTCCTATCTTCAGAGCAATCTGACTATTATAATATTAGCGTTAAGAAAGCTTACTTAAATATCTGCCACAACATAAGTAACCGGATCAGAGTAACATTAAGTACAGTCCGCTGCACTGTGAGTGCAGACGTCGATGTGTCACATTATCATTCATATCATATCACATCATAATGTATCATATATTTCCTTATCTGAGTCAGCTTCTTGAGCCGTATCTGGCCGTGCAACACTCACAGTGTCACATACTGTATGCAGAAGTATTATTTTAAGCAACACATTAAGTTGACGAAACACTCGAGTCAAATGTAATTAAAGTCAGATCGTGTCTTGGACGGAGCAGTGATTTCATAAACCTGTTAATGTACGCATTCAAACACTTTTTCTTTTACCAGCTGTATTCACCTTGCAGGTGCAGCTATGTGGCTTTTATCCTGGATAAAGTGTTTAAGTCATGGATGTTTAAAGTTTAACTTCTTCATATTTGACTAATATTAAAGTTCACTTTTCATTCAGGAAGTATGACGCTGCGCTGTCAGTACGCTTGTCCGTGTTTGAGATTGGTCGAATGCTCCAAATACCACCCCTTTCATGTGAACGCGCACCTAACTAGATAGGACACGGCTGGCTTGAGCGATCCACTTGATAACCAGCGTCGTAGGACCGTTTAGCGAGAGCGCGTATGTTTTAGATTGGGCCAACCGGCTAACTCAAACATATCCAGGTTAGGTTGAACCAGCTTCGTAGTACAGGCCTCAGATGCTGCTTTGAAGCTGCTTTGTTGTGGTACAAAAAGAAACATACCTACGGTGGCCCTGAAGTGCAAGACACCACAGCATTTCACAAAACACAACAGCATTTCACAAAACACCACAGCATTTCACAAAACACCACAGCATTTCACAAAACACAACAGCATTTCAGAAAACACCACAGCATTTCACATTGGACGGAAAGGGTATTCCTTTAGGAGAACACTTCATGTTTGTGATTGGACAGAGCCAGCCAGAGAAGCACTGCTGTGATTGGTTGTTTTTGCTGCCAGTCAAGAAATGACGCTTCGTGATTGGTCACCACCCGACAGCGCAACATGTCCCAATCAACCGTTAGCTGTTAGCACACACTCAGAGCTCACAGCTCCTCATATCTGTTGAGAAACTAGACAAAAGTTAAACATATACAAACCACAGACTGTCTATGTCATGGCGAATACAGTCGCTGCTTTATTTATGTCTGTATGACGCTGTTGTGAGTGTGGACGGAGCAGCTACAGGTTAGTTTAGCCTGATCAATCCGCCCCCTCTCCAGCACGTCTTGTTTGAATGACAGGAGTAAACACAGACAGCCGCGGTGAAACTCGAGCGATTAGAGCGATGCGAAAAAAACATGAATTAATGCTTTATTAATTCATGGTTTTTAAGGGGCTTATCTCCATGTAAATACTATGGTAGACTACCCAATATTCGCATCGCTCTAATCGCTCGAGTTTCACCGCGGCTGTCAGCTGTGTTTGCTCCTGTCATTCAAACAAGACGCGCTGGAGAGGGGGCGGGGCGTATCTCCATGTAAATCCTATGGGAGATACCAACTACAACAAAATGAACATATTTGACCGTGATTTAATTGTAATACACGTTTCAAAGTGATGCCGAAGTAACTACATACTGATACCGGTTAGTAAAAACCATGAATTAATGCTTTGACAAGTCTGCAGACAAGACGGCAGGGGAAAAGCTTTTAAAATGCGTGTTTTCTGAATGGAATCGGATCCATCAGGCTAAACTAACCTGTAGCTGCTCCGTCCACACTCACAACAACGTCATACAGACATAAATAAAGCAGCGACTGTATTCGCCATGACATAGACAGTCTATGGTTTGTACATGTGTTTTTGTACTGGTGCTTTCTGAAATGCTGTTGTGTTTTCTGAAATGCTGTTGTGTTTTCTGAAATGCTGTAGTGTTTTCTGAGGCTCAGTCACTGGTACATTTTTATATACAAAGCCATGTTAGGGAAACTTCCATCCTACATCTGCTCCCTGATCTCACGGCGAATTGTAAGTGGCTACTGCCTGAGATCGCATGCTGTGGTTTTATTAAATGTGCCAACTGCTAGGACTGTCTTAGGGAAGATAGCATTTAGATGCGCAGCTCCACTGTCTTGGAATAGTCTGCAATTAAAATGGAAACTGAGCAATCTGGTGCCACTAAATGTTTTTAAAGCTCGGTTGGATGCTACGCAATCGGAAGCTGTTGGTACCTGTGCATGTGGATAGTTATGTAAACTGTAATCCCTGTAATGATGCTGTATGATGTCCTTTTGTTGTTCTGTTTATGTTTTTAATGTTTCATGTGGAACCTACTTGAGCAGGTCTCCCTTGAAAAAGAGATCAATGATCTCAATGGGATACAACCTGGATAAATAAAGGTTTGAAATGAAATGCTGCGCGTTTTCCTGAAATGCTGTGGTGTCTTGCACTTCAGGGCCACCGTAGGTATGTTTCTTTTTGTACCACAACAAAGCAGCTTCAAAGCAGCATCAGGACTGCTTGTCTATGTGGGTCTTCATGTGAGACAAAAACAAAATGGGACACACTTGTGAAATATTGCTCCCCAGTGTTACTAGGGGTCAAGAAGTCAAAAGGGCCCCTTCACTTTTCTTCAATGTTTCTGTGTGCGTACCTTTATCCACACTGGGATCGTGTGGGACTGGAGAACTGGAGCGTCCATAACTCTGGGGCAGGGAGGCGCCCATTGGGGGGCTGGCTGCTCTGTGAGTCACCTTGGAGGAAGAGGGCTGAGGGATGAAGTCCTCCCCAAGAGAGTTCCTATGGAGCTCCACATCAACCACCTGGAATAAATATAGCTCACTGTCAGAGGGAAGCTCAGAGAAAAGAAGTCACTGCAGGGAACAGAGTAAATATGAATAACTTACAGTCTCTGCTCCGAGTGTCTGCAGCCCAGTGTATGTTCTGTCCAGCTGCAGGAAATAGAAAAAGATTGTTGGAAGTACAAACTTTTATGGAGTTAAAGTGTAAAGTAGAGGTAGATACTTGATTAATGGAGTTTTAATCTCCATTTATAGCTGTAAAGTACAATACAATGAGGATGCTTGCTGATTATAATGACGTCAATCAAAGACTAAGAATCCCAAAGTTGTACGTCCCATAAAACATATCATACAAGTTCATGCCAAGTTCCATGTTCTGAGTCAGCACTAATAAAACAGGTCAAGAAGGCCACCTTGATTAAACATTGGTCACTAATAATCAACCAGGGAAGTATCTCAGTTGAAACTGCATGTGCATTAATACTGTGTCTCAGCCTGAAAAAGCGATGTGGTTCCTGATGTGGTCTGACCTTTAGCTGGTGGATGATGTCGATACGTTTGTTGCGCGGGTCATTGAAGTGGATCTGGATCCTCACAGGAAACTCCCCCCAGCCGCGACGTGTTAAATGAAAGGGAGCCTCACTGAGAACACAGTTGTAAAGTTGTAAAAATTCAACTTTGGAAGGGAAAAGAAATGTGAAGGATTCAGCCCAATGAGAACAAAAACTAAAAACAAGCTCCCATCATGGTTTCTGACTCTTAATAATCTCTTAAAATCAATGCCTTGAAGGTCTCTCATCTTCTCTCCTTTGAAGCTTGAGGTTTTCATCCCCGAACAGACTCTGATCTGACTGCCTGCATTAACAAGGGCATGTGTATGTGCATGCATATTGTTGTGTCTATTCAAGAATACACTATGGGGAATGCTTTTTTTTTTACTTTGATTCATCCCTTCATGTACACAGTATAGAGTCAGCAGAAGGCACAGGGCCTGTGTGGGGTTCAGTGTAAATGAAGACTTGAGTCAGTCAGGGGGGGTTTATGAGCGGCTGCCACGGCAACGTGATTGCCTTGTCAGCTGAAACAGCCAGGAGGCTACGGCTCAGGGTGAGGATTGCTGACTGATGAAAGAGACCATTATTTCAAAAGCCACAGGCAAACTTAAATCCTTTGCCACTTTTAGAGGATGAATACTTAAATGAGATAGCTTAACCAAAAAAAAGCTGTTCTTCTGTTCCTTTAAGATGAAGACTCAGATCACCTTTATTAATCCCTGAGGGGAAATTCCGTTTTTCTAGATGACTCCTAAATGAACTGTGCGTGCCACAACAATCTACACACCAAAGTGCTTTGGGCTAAAGTATACACCTTAACACGCATGTTGTTCTTACTAAATTGTGTAGGTGTGACCATTCTGAGTCATCTCAGTGTTGACTTCTAGTCTGACTCATGGTATGCTAAATAACGTAATCGACACCACCTAATGATGTGTGTATAATCTGCATGATTATTTATTTTCTGAGTTTGCATAAATACTAACCGCTGGCAATATTTAGCTGGAGTAAATATCACTCAAATACACAAACATTATGTTTTACTTCCGCTAGGATTGACAGGGACTAACCTGGCTACTTCATTACATTTCCACAAGGGGACGCTGTTTATCAAAGGATTCAAACCACAGTCTGTTTACTACTGAGTCTGAGTCACACACTGTGAATGAACAACAGTTGACTGTTTATGCACTCCTGTATTTAATTAAATGTTGCATCAAGGTGCTATTATTCAGAAGAGTTTCCTTTCTTAGTTCGCCAAAAGAGATGAGGAAAACTACAAACCTAAAATAATACTGTCTCTGTGGGACACAAAACACGTGAATCTTATTTAGAGAAACTTTGTTCCTATCTCTCTGACTTAAATTGTCTTTTGGCAACCACATGAAACAGCACCCAAGTGCTAATTTGTTTAACAACAGAGGAGCCCTGCCTTTATCAGAAAATGTGCACATGACTGAGGAGTGCTTACTCACTTTGTCTCAAATATGCGGAAAAACAAACACACACAAACCTGACTTCCACTAGGTCGTTGGGTTTGTAGCTGGGATGCAAGAAGAACCAGACTTTCTTTACAAAGTGGTCGATGCTGGGTTCCCTCCTGGAGCCTCTGACGTACACCATCCACTTGTGGGTCGACTGGTCATTTTCTTCCCGCTTATCTGGGGGAATGTACCTGAGAGTGAAAGACAACAATCAATTAATTGTGGAATCGAAGCGGATCCAAATAGAACCTGCCAGGGAATGAAATACATTAAATGATTAATAAGTTGACATTAGAGGTAAATTCAAGCGCATTTATTTGTTATTAACTGTCTTTAACAGGTTACATTTTTCTAACTTAACTATTCACTGTAACAGATTCAAATTCAACAAATAGACTAGGCTTTAAACGATACATGCCAATTATACAGGGGCAATTACTCATTTGAAATAACAACCCCTCTAGTGCACAGTTCACCTGTAGTCTGGTCAATTTTATGTAAAAATAGGTTCCTACCACCATTCCCACCACCATGCAGAGTTGCTTCCTGTGATTTTCCATTTTTTCCGTCACCCATTTACAAAAACAGTTATAGGTTGTACATTTGTTGTTGTCAAAGATAACTACCTGCTAAAATCTTAAGTCAATGTATGCCTTTTAAATTATTTATAGGTTTTACTTTACACATCCCTCCAAAAAGGCTAAGACAAACCACTTTGCTGACTACAGAAAAAAAGGCCATTTTAGCGTTATCTTTGACTCGGCTTTCTTTTTTTTATGGTTGACCCGTTTGACTCCGAGAGGATCTTGCATTCAACCTGGAATTGACTAGTTTACAAATGTGAGCATCCAGAACAGTTTTTTTGTTGCTTCTGTCTACTTTTGTATTTTAAGTGATATTAGTATATAAACTTTAAACACATAATTGTGATCAGTAGGTACATGTTTCTCCATTTATGATCTGAAAACTATTACCTTATTAAAGAAACAAAGGTTAGAGTTGAAGGATTTATCAATGTGTCTTTTCATCATATAAACAGTTTGACAACTTCCTGAGAAACTAAGTGAGTCAAACGTTTGCTTAGTTTAGTTACATACCTGGAAACATTCCCCACAACAATTGTCTTTTTTGCATACAGTCTTGAGGCTTCATTTCCGGTAGGGTGGTATGTAACCCTCTGCTCTGCTCCTGAAGACAATGGCACACCAAATGTGTCCTACAACAAAAAATGGAGAACATTAAGGATTTAGGAAAGATAATAAAAATGCTAGATTAATGCTGTTACAATTTTGTCTCTTTATCACATAACCAATAACACGGTCTGCTTGGTCGGTTGAACTCACCTTGCCGGTATTGCGCCCTGGTCTGCGGTCCTGCCTGCTGCCGTCCTCTCTCCATGCTCCCTCTCCTTCCCTCTCAGCTCCCTCTCCTTGATGTGAGAGGGACTCGGACTCTGACTGGGCCAGAGACTGAGTCTCAGAGCCCTGATTGAGAGGGGAAGAGGACCGGGATGGGGACTCTAGGAACCGGCGGATGGCTGGATGGTTCAGCATGGCAGGGTCACTCTTAGAAGCATGCTAGGACACAGAAGAAATGGTGGTTGCTGCCACTGTTCTATACCACTGGCTTAGAGCAGCTGTCAATATATGAACATATCTTAACTTACCTCTGGGTGCTTTATTATTCCAGCGCTGGCATAGTAATTGGCCACTATGCATGCCCTTAGCTTGTCCATCATCCTCCTGGCTTCATTGAGTCGCTGCAACATAGTGAAAAGCAAATAACCAAAATGCTCTTCTTTAAACTGTGAGTCCTCATCACTGATACAAACAAGTAAATTATAGTATAATGAAAATAATAAAAGATACTTTTCCAGTCATTCAGATACCTGGCTTATCACATCTATCTCATGCTCTTTGTTCTTCATCTCTAAAGAAAACTGCTCTCTGATGATGGTTTCAATCTTCTGTACCGCTGCTTCTCGGGCTGAAGGAGTAACACAAATTCAAGAGCCGGGATCAATAAGTACAGTAACTTGTAAGCTGTCACAACATGTACTGTGATAGGGTTCAGATCATGAACTTACCATTATGTTCAACTGCTTTGTTTCTCTTACTGTTTTGGAACAGCGAAATGTCATCATAATCTGGGTCATTGTCTTCTATTTTCCTTTTAATCCCTGACATTGCTGCCTGCAAAGAAGAAGATATTAGCAAACATGCATATATAAACAGCTAATGCAAGCTAGTCACATCAATATTATATCACAGCCAGTTGTGATGGTACTTTGTTTTTTGTCTTGTATATATGTAAAGTGCATTGTTTGAGGAACCAGTGACCCAAGACTTCCATTGCATAACTACACTGTAGCTGTGTATATGACAATACAATCTTTCAGATTGGGATTTGTGATGGTAGTTAGCATCGAATTAGCCGGCTAGCAGTGAGGCTAATGCACACAGCTAACATTAGCAGCGCAACCATAGCCTTCAATGAGCCAAGTTATCTTAACAAACATATTAAACGTTAGGCCACCAGTCTGTCTAACAAACTGTGTATTTGCATCAATCCGTGCCTGTCTTTCGTGTAGCCGGTAGCCCCGTTACGTTAAACAAACGCTATCTTTGTTTGCTAATTTAGCTAACGTTAGCACACATTTGTAGACACCGATTGAATCAATTTGAAATGCAAACTTACTCGAGCACCCTGTGTTGCAGAGCAACGTCTCTGTGTGAGGCGTGTGTTTTAATTCAGTGGGAACATATCCTTTGAGTTATTCTATATCAATTTCCACACTTGTGTTTAGTAAATTGCTAAATCTCGAGGTGGACAAGTAAGCTAACTAAGTGGTGGACAGTTAGCTTTGCACTTCATCAAAACAGCCACCAGGGACCAGTATTCTACAGAACAGATGACACTAAAGTCGGAGCACACTCAATGTAAACATTATGCATTGTAATCTCTCTTTAGTTTTTTCACTATATTATTATATATTAAAACATTTTTTAAATAATCCTAGCACTTCTGGATAGAAGTCTTAATTCACTCTTATATTGGCACTAGTGGTAGTAGTCTTACACCCCCATGAATATTTTAAAGCTTTTATCTGATAGTTTGTATGAGTCTTTTAACTATGCATAACTCCCTATTTATTAGGTGGTTGTGTTGTTTAGTTGAAAAAAATCGTTCAATATAATCATCTTTTTTACAAGATGTAACAATACATAATAAACTCTATAATTATTTAACTTCTCTATCGTAATTTTTTAATTTCATGATTGATTAAATGGAAAATACAAAAAGGAATCACATGACTATGGCCGAAATATGTCTACAAACATATACTTGCTTTTAAGCCAGGAGAGTAGGTAATGACTATTGACCCTATATGTATATTAAGACTGCACATTCTTACTAAATATAGGCCTTTACATGTTTAAGTGTGACTGCAATGTTAAACAGCATGCTATGAAAAACACCTGACAAGAACTGAAACAAGTTTCTGATGAGTACATTTAAGGGAATCAGTCACATGCAGTAGGGACATCATGTCCCTACTATCATTGCTTCAGGCCTCACTATCATTCCTTTAATCAAGTCCACAAGTGAACCTGTTATCCATACAGCTATGGGTTTCATTTGAGCCACACAATACATGAGTATTAGATGGTAAAAAACAATTAATATTCATCATTCTGACACATTTCAAAAAGCATGTATGTAAAGCAATGAGCACATTTTTTTTTTTTTTTGTAAATTGTAAAACATAAACCTCTCTTTCAGCAGTGTATATTTTAAAGATGAGTATGGATGTAACGGGGTAGCATGCTGCAATTACCATGTGAATTTAATAGATTAATGAACTGACACAAGTAAGAAATAGAGTGTTTTCCTATCTGTGAGTGTGTGTTAGTAGTCTCTACTGATGAACGCTAAATACTTTCCATATTGTTTAGTGTGATTTGAGAGACATAAGAATCTGTGAGAAGAATTTTTGTGGTTTTCATTGAACCAAACCATAATAAGGAGAACATAAATCAACACATAAGACCATTCACAAAGGCCTTTATGTAACACAAGTTGCTCAATCCTTGAAACAGTATGTCTGGTTTTATGTGCTGTTTTCTTGTTCAACACAATGGCTCATTAACAGATCACCAACATGATTGATTCATCCCTTGATGAAACAGGATGCATTAGCCATATGAAGCAGATTGCATACTGTAAAGTTTGATAAGACAGTATTGTATTGTAAGTATTGTATTTCTTGTTGGTGGTAAAAAATATTTGAAGTCTCTATTGAAATCTGCGGTGTAGTAAGTGGTGCAGTGGGTTCAAACCTTTAGTACAAATGCTTCATTTCTATCTCCCTCGTGTTTATGGTGTGAAGTTCAATATGCTGATACTAATTCAAATGGAAATGTTCAGTAAATGGTTGTGTCAACTTCATTCATTACATCCTGTTTTTCATCTCAATCTTCTGATTTCTTTCACAGAAAATCTATTATCAGGACATCCCTCTTAGCTTAATATTGAAAGCTGTCATGAAGATAATCTACATTACCATTATCATTTGACAACGCATTAAAATACAGAACAAAACTGGTCAGGACACAAGTAGCGATACGGAAAGAAAACACTTTATTGATGTTTCTCTTACACAAGTCAACCATTACATTTCAACATTATGCAGTTTACAAAAATTCAAAACTTTCTCGCAGTTGAACAAAGAGCGTCTGAGGAGTAAGTGGTGTTAAAATATCACATCATACATCAATAAGGACAATTTATACCCCACTCGTTTTAATTAAGGCACATCGGGCATTATTCAACAAACTCAAGCCCCCTACCTTGCATGCAAGCATTGTTTATCCATTGCCATTTTACAACAAAGTAACCTTTGTGCTTGAATCTAATCCACTTTGGTTTATAACTACATTCATATTAAAATACATCACTCAACTTTAACGGTCCGCTTTTGGGGGTTTGATTTGGCATGCCATTTTTGCATGTGGGAATCAAAATATTTCTGTTCTCCACAACAATCAAAATGAAAGAAACACAGATCAACTGATAAGAACAATGAACAATCTTATAAAAGTAAACAATGTTTAGAGGCCTCTACATAGAAAATAATGAAAATCAATAAATCAACATATAGTGTTGTTATGTGTGACGCACACACACTCAAATTCTTTCTCTCACTCACCATTTGTCTAACTCCTTCTGACTCTTTTGCGCTACCACATTCTTACCCCCAAATGTCCTCTTGTCTCCGGAGTCACCCTTCAGTACAGTTAAGTTACCTATGTTAAGGACTGTGGGCAGGCCTGAGAATGTTTCTTAACAACCTATATTTTTGTTGCGCTCATTAGAGATAACGCCTGGAGGATGGCTTTTGCCATTGTGACAGTTGGAAGAACACTCTCTGTATTGTGAGAAACAACCAACCTTTTAACCTCCAATGTAAAGCCAAAGATCTCTTATTGACTCTTGACATTGTTCTATTGTAGCAGTTATTGTGTTTTTTCATCAGGGATTTAGCAGGTAGTGGCTAACAAGAGGAGCTTAAAGGTTCCCTTCTGGTCTCTCACATACGTCACATGAAAGCAAAGAACATTTACTGATACAGTAAAACAAAAAGAAAATCATTGGCTTAAGGTTCTACATTTAAGTGCACTATTGGGGCCCTCAGTTACGAGAAAACGTAATATGCAACCAAAAAAGAGGCACATTTAAATACACAAAAAAAACATAATAAAGTTATATTCACAGCAATATCTCTTGTCTATTAACACCTACTATAGTAAAAGGTGACTTTTACTCACGTGAGCCACATCATTCAAAACACATCCCATTCAAAACTCTTAACCCCTTCCCTGTGTGGGGTGCAGCACTGCTACACACACCACCTAAGCTTACCAGTAAACACAAATACACACATACACACTTTGACATACCTACAGGTACCCCAAATTACATCTTTACATGTAAGTGCAGAGGTGAGAGGTGTGATCATCAGTGTTAAAACTTCTGTGAACAGAAGAACAGTCGTGTGTGATGCTTACACTAACATTGATATACTTTTTGGCTCCTACACATTTAGACTCAGTCGTAAAAGTCACATACACACACACATACCCAGCATGCAAACCACTTATTCAGAGCAGTCTTTGAGTTTGATCTACAAAGGCTTCTCACATCTAAAAAAACACCCATACACCAAGTACATCAATGAACAAACATTGATATGAAAAACACACCCTAAAGCTACTCATAATACAGTAAAAATCCAATTGTAAAAAAGACAAACAAGTATAACTTAAGATAATAAAAAAAATAAAACAGTCTGTAATGAATTTAACAATAATTAAAATAGAGCAAAAACAAAAAAGGAGATACCGAAGTTTGAGGTGATGACACAGCTGGAGGAGAAGGGAAATGCACACGGGAAGTGAACAAGGAAACAAGAGGGCAGAGCCAACAGTGGCTGTGTTCCACTATATTTGTACAGTGTCCACTTTTTATTTCTTCTCTTTACCCTATGACCACTGATACCGTGGAAGAGCAGCTGACTGACTGTTTACCACATTTTTATCAAGGTCATTTTAAGTATCAAGAAAGGAGTTAAAAAAAGGGAGTGCGGTACTTTTTAATGTTCTTTACTAGTACCATGCTGTACTGTTCTGAAGGATTGCATGGAGTGCATTGGGTACATGGTTATACAGTAGATCTGACCTGGCCAACTTAGTTAAAGGGCCCATGTCATGCTTTTCCGGTTATTACCCATCCCCTTGTGTGTTATGAAGGTTTTTATGCATGTAAACGGTCTGCAGAGTCAAAAACCCTCAAAGTACACCCTGTAGCGAGTAAAACTCTAACACAGAAAAGACCTGTCTATGCTGCCCCAGAACGCCTCGTTGGAGATTTCTAATTTTCCAATGTTTGCTTCCTGGGTTCTGTGGCGTGTGAACACCCAAATCAACAACAAATGACCGGATTGGCCCAAATGGACCAATACGCGGAGCACCTCACACACCAGGATCCCTTGACTAGCTAACAGGGAGTCCCCATTGACTTGCATAGAGCTCCCTGAACGCTGGTAATAGACGAGTTGGGATCGCGGAGAAATGCTCTCCGCAGACCCATTCTCACAGCGTTATAAACCTTTTTCTTACTCAATATCAATATCCGCTCCTTGCAGCAGCTCGCAGCAGCGGCGAGCAGCAACGAGCCTCGCAACGTCCCGACCAATCAGAGCACACTGGGCTCACAGGGAGGGAGGGGGGGGCAGGAGCTCCAACAAGCCGTTTAGGACAGAGAGTGAATACCTGGTGAATACACATACTATACAGAGATGCTGTATGAGAAACCAATGTGATTTTGGAAAATTGCCCAATTTAAATCTATTCTAGTATACCTCAACAATGGAAATATGATCAGTAGAAATGGCCATGACATGGGACCTTTAAAAATATTGAATGTTGCACTATTGGAGGAGCTTGAGACTCAAGATTGTCTTTGACAAAACTATGCTGCAGCTATTGTGCATATGACAAATAAAGCCTTTGATCTTTGATTTGTCAGTCAACAAATATTTGTTCTGCTGCAGGTAGATCATTCTTGGCTAATTTTTGTCAGGGCAATTTTCTTTTGCCTTAGGGGTTTTTGTTCATCAGCACAACCTGAGTTCAATTCAGCTCATCAGAAATCTCAGGATGAGGTTACTTTGCACAGTAATAAAAGCACAGGGTGGGGTAGATCAGTTTCAAACTGTCAACATACTTGTAACCACTATTGTAATTAAATTAATTATTATTAATTGACTGAATAATGTTATTATAAATTGTCGCCCATTAATTGAATCCACCAAAAATGCAATTATGGAAGCAAATAAGTGACTTTACTTTATTTCTTAAATAAGTGAGTTTAGAATTGTTTTACCACAGAAACACAATTCCTAGGATTAGAAATTAATCTCAAATTAAAATGTACTCACAACATTTTCAATCAAATATTTTTTTGCATTTCTATTTATTTTACATTTATGATAATCAAATCCCTTTACTTCTATAATTTATGATCTGTTACTTCCCAACAATGTGCAGTTACTCTTAATGCAAGGCACACCTGCCATGTTGATCTGACTCCACTTTAGCTCAGGTTATATACAACTCATCATCAACCCATGTTAATTTCTACAGATTGGATTTAACTTTGATACACAACTGCAAAAGATTCACAGCACCACCATGAGTAACCGGAAGTATTGCTACACGATGCTGTGGGAAAATAAATGTGTGGTAGCGGTAAAATGGACAAAGTGGGACTGTTATAAACAAGTATGTTATTGTGTGTTTGTGTGTGTGTTGTGCATAGAGTGAACTTGAAGGGTTTAAGTTCTTTAGTGTGTGTTTCTGTGTGCCTGTTCATGGTCAGGGCCTGCGGCACTTGTCATTGTAGCGGTGGATGGTGACACAGCCATGGTAGGAGATCGGCCGTGGCATGGCGGCCACTCCTGTGATGATGCCCGATGACGGGTCGTAACACAGGATGGTGTCGCTTGCCAGGCCATTTTCCCCTCTCCCACCAAGGATGAAGATCTTGCCGTTGCACACTGACATGCCACAGCTCTCCTGAAGCAAAAAGAGAGGCAGAAATGTAAGGTTGCAGCTCTTAAAGAATACTTTGAGCTTAGTATCTGCATTGAATCTGTTACCTGTTTGCTGAAGGTGTGAACCACATGGATCCAGTAGTCCTCTATGGGGTCGTAGCAGAAGATGGACTTGGTGAGACCCCCGCACACATAGATCATGTTGTTGAGGGACACTGCTGTGATACAACGCTTAGCGATGGGGATGTTGGCCCGCAGTAACCAAGAGTCTGCCTCTGGATCATAGCACTGAACCTGTGACATACAGTTAGTTACATGTAGTTAGGTGAGTTTTATTCTGGTAGAAGAAAGGGACACATAGAAATAACTGAAATATGTGAAGCTCTTTCTGTGGTTTTACTCTCTTTAGTTTGTTCTGTGGGCTGACATAAGTTTGGCTCTGTGTGATTTGCATACAATCCAAGCATTCTCTCACCCACATCACTTGAACATAGCCTACTTCCAAACAGCTTTGTGTTGGACTGCAGCAAACAACACACTTCAACAGACAAAGTACTGGATCGATGGGTATGACGCTGTTAGGAGACTCCAGAGATAAGTCGCTTTAGGGATTTTGAGTCAGCATAAACTCTAGTCCACGTGGAGCCAGGTACAAATAGTCAGCCATGTTAGGTCACTCTGGCGTGAAAATACAAGAACAAGTAGAACAGCTATTCCAAGGAATAAATAAATGACTCAGGAACCTTAACCTCAATAGAAGCAAATTCAACGTTCTTCCTGTTTATTACCAGCATCATGGCTGTCAATCAAAACATAATGAAACTATTTCAGTTAAGCCTGTCATTCCTGATTTTTACCTCAGAAAGGTTTAGTCATGACTGGTGACTCAGGATGCTTTATTTTATTAAGCATTTTCCTTTCAGGGATTGGCCTGTAAGGAAATAATGCTTATAATGTTTTGGCCCATCTGTAGCACTGCCCAGTTTAGTATATACCTCTCTTGACCAACATGTCATTCTAGTTCAGACTACTCACTGAAAAGTCCACATAACCTGCATCTCCAAGGTATAATAACTGAAAACTAGTAAATTGAGACAAAAACATATCTGTTTCGCACCTTGTCTGAACAGGTCTCGTCGTCAGGTCCTCCTCCTATGACAAACAGCTTGCCGGCACAGCTGGCCACGGCCGGAGAGCTGACCGCCTCTTTCATGGGAGCCACTTCAGTCCAGCGGTTAGAGAAGGAGTCGTAACACTCCACACTGCTCAGGCGGCTCTGCCCATCGTAGCCACCAACAGCATATACCTGAGGGCAGACACACATTCAGATTAGCGGAGTGGAAATGACTGCCTGGGAACCACACAGAGCATGATTATTAAAAGTTATGAGTTGTGTTTAGGTGTGATATATACTTTTGAACATACACCACATAAACACGTCACTTTCAGTATAAGAGAGTTTATATTATAGCTTACTAGTTCAACAGTATCAACAATAGCTTCTACGTCAGCACATTGAGAACCAGTCTATCCGGTGTAGATGGAAGAGCACCATTGTCTTATTTGCTCTTATAACTGTTAACACTGCAGGAAAAAGTGCATTTGCTAACCATGAACTGGCGTCAACATATTCTGTTAATTCCCATTATAATTTACAGTTCAAAATAATAACCCGTTGGAAAGTCAGTCTATAAACTAAATGTTCTAAGTTGGTTGATTAAATGTGTTCCAATTTCATTTACTGGATGATGAGATCTGAGCCTCTAACAAAAACACACATCTTAGTGGAAGTTAAAGCATCACAATCTGGAGAATTGTGTTGACGCAAGATATGCACTCATATATAACAAATGCCTTGTGGTAAAACATACTATCCCCTGGAGCGCAATGAATGGCAAACTGTGAACATGAGGCATGAAGGGAGGAACAAAACTGGAAGGAAAAGATTTATGTAAAACTTCTACTTCCTCAATGGCTGGAAGGAGATCATGTTTCAAGAGCAAATGCTCATCAACAGACACGTGTTGTGCAACAGAAAACCTTCAGGCTGTTCCTGTCTCCACAAAATCTGGAGCATAAACAAGTATAGAGGTGAGAAAGAGAGAGGTGGAGAGAGATGAGAGGAACAAAGACACAAAGAGAGATGGAGGAAAAAATAAGGAACAAAAAGATGGAAGTGGATGAGGGACATGGAATATTTGCATTCGACACCTGGGCTAACTGATCGAACTACCCCCTTTTTAAACTGTCAGTTGATACAGATTAAAACACCTTCATGAACGTTTCTGTGTTTCTACATTCACTGGACAAATTGAAATGGGTTGATTTGAGCAGATTGTTTGTTGCTACAAATGAAAGATAATAAAGTAAAACAAAAGAAAGATAAGGGGATTGTGTGGCGTGGAAGATACATTTCCAGAAAGCAGCTCTCCAAAAACATTTTCTTGCCGTTGATTAAAATAAAAAAAAATAAAAATGTTTATAGACATTGTCGTCAATGAGGGCTGAGGATTACTCAGAGTAATGGGGAATCTTAATAAAGAGTAAAACACATTTCACTCATCATTTCGGTAACCAGACCCTTAAAAGCACCATCAAGTTGAAGTTCGCCCCACCCCTGAAGTCACTTGATAAAACATCCAGCATTGTTTCAATATATAGAAGTGCAAGTGCATTTATATAGGCACATTCCACATTAGCTCGATAATGGCAGCATATACTCTAGGTATGTGGTTATCACATAAACACAAAGTCACACGTGATTCATGGCTTTCTGAAGTCACACTTGCCAACCACAGAGTAAGCACGTTCATTTTATGACCCCGCTCAAACACTGTCAGTGGCTGAATGATTAACATGCAGAGAGGTGAGATGTAGTGACCACGATAGAAACACTCAGGACTTCGGGGGTCAAACGACATCAGAGTATAGGGGAAAAGATAGATGAAAACAGCCGTCACCAAGTGCAGCCATAACAGGGAGAGGCAAACAAGCGGTGACCTATATTTGCTTCTACTCCATGGAAACAGGACCAGTCCAACAAGACAATACTGAGGAGTGTGTGTGATCTTGTTCTGATATCTCTACATTAAGAACCAGCTTTAGGTTTAACTTTAACGTAGTCACAAGGTATATCTAGATATGGGTTATTTAAGGTCATCACATAAGGTAAGATAAACGTGGGCATGAAATGTTTGAGCATGAAAAATAAAAAATATACGATTTGTCTACTGAGTATGCACATTGTTTGAATAATGAGTTAGTGGAAGCCAGTACTGAGGTTCTTTGCACGAAGGCTTGAACAAGCATACATGGTAATTATACAGGCTTGTTGACAACACTCAGCCTTGTTTCTCCAACTGAAGCATAAGTGCTGCACATCAAAAGAGGAAATGACAGACAGAATGAGGAAATGACTGGGTACAAACTCAGGAGGAGGAGGAGGAGGATGAATGGTGTGAAAACAGATACCCTATGATTGTTGAGATAACCTGGAAACATAACCAAAAGCGTTCCAGATCAAACTGGAAAAAAGATATGAAGAAATTAAATGGAATGAATACCACAGAGTTCAGAGGAATAATGAAACAAAGAAGGGCATGAGGTGAGAAGATAGCACACAACTAGTTTGAATACAACGGAAAATACCTCTGTGACAGACAGAAAGAAGACAATATGAGAAGAGGAAAAAGGAGAAGACAGATCCACGTGTGGGACAAATACAGAGAGTGGTCGCAGAAAATAATATAAGAAGAATGTGTTGTTAAGGAAGGGATACAAATGTGTTTATGCAGTGTAGCACTACACATGTATCACTGCCTCTTTTATGTTGTTAGTGACGCCTGGTCATTTTGACAAAGATGCCTTTTGGTCTATCTGGTTTTGATTCTAACTTGATACATGACTCACTTCAGAGTTAATCACTGACTTTTACAGGCAGAGTGACCCTCCAGATGATTACCTCATTGTTGTGGAGGACCTTTGTGTAGTTTGCACATGCACGCACATGTGTTTGTTCTTTCTGGGGCAAGGCAACTAAGCATTGTTTGGAACAATCCAATACAAGCAGAGCTTTCAATCTTTATTAAAATATATTTGCAGAATTCCCTAAAGATGAGGCTCTTTCTGACAAAGTAAATAAAGTTCTGTTAGAACCCAAAGGTTTCCAAGAATAATTGTACTTGTGCCCGTGTTCTTTTTATGTGTTTACAAGTGTGTGTACACGTGATGATAGCTAAAGCACACACATGAGTTTGTGTGTGGTGTGTGTGAGCGTGAGTCATCTGATTATGCTGTTTGCTTAGAAAAAAAAACCAATAGCAAATGTTCTGCCTGCATTCAACAATAAATTAACGGCCGTTCTTCCTTACGCAACCATAATAACAGATAATTACAGTTCAAAATATTGCGTTAGGTACCCACATCATTGTTTTTCAAGTGGTCCACATTTGTTTTACACAAAGATAGTCCAGACAACCGCGTTTTAAAGGCAGAAGTGAATGCCATGCAATACAAACAGACTATACTACTCGTTTAAGAGCATTTGCAAACACAACATGAGGTTAAAAAAAAACATTTAAGGTGAGAAATACAGTAATGTAAACTAATAATAGAGTTTCCTTTCTTGTAAATAGAATGCAGGATGCTGTAGGAAAAGGAAGAGCCTTGTACTGTACATATTTACAGTAAGTAGGTGTATTCAAATCCAGTGTGTAGTTACAGGGTTATCAGGGTTTCTTACAGCTATCTATAGCCACTCCAGGCTTACAGTATGGCAGAGCCACATTGATTATGATATGAGTAGACTAAGATAGACCTTAACTTGGAAGTGTGAGGTGCTGGCACACATCCACTAAACTTCCATTGCCCTCAAACAAGAATGTGCTCTTGGCTTTGTACTAGAGACTTTAAATAGTAACAGCAGATGAGTAGAAACAGTTTTAGCGGATTAGTGCTGAGTTCACATGTATACTCAGTTTACTAAAATATCACAACCAAACAACCATGATCCCGGTTTAGCACTGTACAGATATCGTGTTTACAGTATACGACCAACTGCAAATGACAGTTGAAGTATTTTCAATGTGTGGGCGAATCAACTGCACCTTTCCATTAGCAACTAATTAACCTCAGTAACTTGTATATATGCCAGTTTTGAATAATAGGCAAACTTCCTTCTCCTTATTGAATCTGCTCATAAGTATTCAGGAGGTGCAGGACCTGCTGGCACCGGCCGCTTACAAACCCCAGGGCGACAAAGGAATGCGTTACTCACAAAAAACAAGACAAGAAAGCAGGCAATTAATAAAATATGGTGGGAATTCCTAAGTGTTTCTGTCACTAAGGAGTCACTTACTGTATGTCTCAGTTGACATGACTTATGGATACAATCATCACTAATATGCAAAACGAATATGCAAAGACTCAAGTGTTTCAGAAAAGATACAGGTAAATAGCATGTCTTACAGTGGAATGAGACATAGGACTGAGTAGAAAGCAGTCAAAAAGCTCCATCACTTACCAGCACGTGATTCAACAGTTTTGTTAAATGTCCTCTCCATTATGTAGTGTTTAAAGGTCTAAAAATCATTGGCTTTCTATTCCTCAGAAGCACCCATGGCTTACATTTCTGTAAGAAGGTATCACTTTTTCTTGGGAAACCCAACTTATAAGTGTGTGTTAGGGGGACATGCCATAGCCACAGAGCCAAGTATCTAGCCCTTTGAAGAGTCGAAGCCTCACACTTTACACTCTTTAGAAATATAACCATGTGTTTCAGGCTATGGTGGTTCCGACCTAGTGAAGACTGCCTAAATTGTGACTGGTTAGTTTTGATGGCTCAGAATTTCTATAAATCAGAGATTATCCATAGTCGCTCTATATCATGTAGGAAATGAGAGGCAGGATTACTTTTGGGTATACAAGAAAGCCTGATAACATACTACAGAGTTATCTAGTTTGGTGAAGGTGCTAAGGAGTGAAATCTGAACTATGAATTACTTCCTACATCACAGGCATCTACGCTAAGGTATCCATGCATCCGGATAGAGATGCATAGATCCAGATTTAGGCTCCCTGCTTACCTTGCCCAGCAGGACGCCCATCTTGTGTCTCCAGCGGCCTTTGTTAAGAGAAGCCACTCTGATCCACAGGTTGAGCTGGGAGTTATACATCCACACGTCCCTGCTGTTGATACGACCACCTGAAAGCACCAAGGGACAACCATGCAAGACAGTGAATAGTCAGGACAAAACATTTAGCACTAGACAGCTCTGATTGTTGTTGTTGTCATATGTGATCCAGTTGATCTAATATAATAAAACGTTTCAAAATAAACCAGGACTGTTCTTGGTTAACAGCCAGCATTGTGTGTTTAGTTCAAAGTTATACTTATCTTCTAACTGGACATGATGTATCTGAATTTGACTGTGCTGGGTCTTGAGAGTTCAAACCAAGATTGGCACATTTAAGATATGCATAGACACACACTTAAACATTAATCTGTGTTTCCTAATGAATGCACAGGTGTGGACTTTCGGTTTGTTTATCATTTCTATAGCAAACACACGATGGTCCTTTTGCACCAAACTGCAGTCTGACTGACTATCACCTGTTGTCTCTGGGTAAACATGCACCTTAAGAAGATGAAGAGATCATATTAACAGGCATTCAAATAGCTTACAGTGTGACCCAGTCACTAGCCCTGACATGTACCCCTCTCTCTCTGGCATGCAGGTCTGTTGATTCTTCATAGACCAAAGGAAAATCCAAACAGGGCAACAAAAGCTGACTTTTAACCATGACAGACAAAGACATGATGAAATGTAGGTAAATCAGACAAGACCTAAGAAAACTTCCTTAAATGTAGGTTAAAAAGGAAAATGTAACATTATGTAAAAGCCATTTAAAGAGTAAGTGAACGATTGAGACGAATGCACTATTTTTAGATCTGATAGCAGTTATCTGATGGCTTTTATGCAACATTGAGTTCAAAAGAAAACAATCTTGGAGCAGGATGTAGAATGGAAACCAACAAGACTAAAGCACATAAACAAAGAAGTCAGTGACAATCTGTGTTATTTCACACTGGGACTTAAATTGATCACATGGTGGCGGTATCAGTCAATGGAATACAGATGATCAAAATTAATAAGAGAACACCCCTAAGGTCAAAACCTTAAGCTGCCCTTTAGAGCCCTTTAAGTTTCCTATTGAACAACATCAATTTAGACATGATATGTCCTGGACAATGCAAAACCATTCATCAACACATTGTTGTGTTTGCATCTTGCCATTGGGTGTTTTTTTTGTCCTGAACACTGGTGGGTGGTTATATGGGGCAAAGATAAAGGCATAAAGAAAGCCTGCAGGTTTAAACAAAAGGCTTCTTGGCCTCTTTTGTATTCACGTACAAAAAAAGCAGTTTTTTTCTTTCTGTAGTTGAGTGACAGAGAGGACAGGTGGTAGGCCTGTGTTAATGTTGCCTCCATTAAAATTACACAGTAGCAGACAGACAGAAGGAGCGATGGGAAGGAAGTTAGTCGCAAGTGTCTGCTCGATAATCTGCTGGATAGTACAAGAGACAGACAGTCTGCTGCCCCCAACGCTTGTTTTCAAATATTTGCATACATAAAACTTGTTTACAAAGGACGAACAACTTCAAACAGAGCCTTGCAAACAAGGAAAGATCATTAAAATAAGTAGTACTGCAGGCGGTCATTTCTCAACAAATATGTCCTTCCGTAATCACTGAAAACAAGAAGCAGTGTTATTGGGAGGTCCAACAAAGATTTATGAGATTTACTCATTCTTACAGCTCAGTATGTTGTCACATTCCTGTTGTCAGGCTACCTGTGACATGGACCGCTCTGTAATGTGTGAGGCAAGCACATGTGTTTTGCTGCTGATTAGCTGAAATATGCGGTACATTCAATGTGTAGCAAACAGAAACATTTATTTTATTTCAGGGTTCAACATTAATGTTCTTTTTCATTGCCTTGTTGGGTAAGGGGGTCAGAAATGTACTTGGCCATGGTACATTATTACTTGTCCTTTTACAAAACGTTTTATTTATTAGTGGTTATCAAATAAGAGTAAATAATTAAGTTTAATGACATGGTTAACCTTTATTTAATTAAATGAATCTGGGGTTTTAACCAAGCTTGATTTATTGTGTGAGATCAGATTATAATTGAAATCATGCTGACTGTGCTCAATTGAGCCATATCCTCTTTAAGACCACAGCTAACTGCAGCTGTGTTGGAGACTGGAGGCTCTCCAAGGTATTTGCACCATTTCCCAGTATGAGGAGAGGGGCAGACAGACAGACAGAATCCATGTGTGTGTGGGAATGTGATTGAGAGAGTGCAAGATCAAAATAAAATTGAGAAAAGGGCATTAAATGTGTCAGGGCAGATGTGTTATAAAAGGAAGGAAGTGGGTCAATGGAGATCATAATATGCTATCAAGCAGTTGTGTGTACAGTACGGATGTGTGCGAGACACGGAGACAAGGGAGAAGGGTATGTTGACTATTCCAGGCAGCGCTTGAGGGAAGATTGATCGAGCACACGAGGACTTGGCACACTAAGAGCATAAAAAATCAAACACTTGCACACTATTGGCGTAAGGAGAGAACTTTTTTTTTCTCTTTTCATCCCTTTAATTCTTATCTCCCCTCTTTATCTTTTCATCTCCGATCTTCTCCAGTAATGTTTTGTAGCTCGTTCAAAACATGTCTGAGCATGAGCAGTTACTGTCAATGCATATTCTCGGTAACTATTGCACAAAAAAAAAATGAAGTAAAAAAGAAAACAAAGACTCCTTGGCCTCTATCCAACATGCAGCTTGTATACACAACCTCAATGTTTGGCTTCAGGAACTTCCTTCACCCTGACATCATCAGGCAATACGAAAGACGTAATTCCAATGTCTTGTTTAATCTAGGCATCGTTTTTTTAACAAAGGAGGCTTACGCCACACTGGGCGCATGCTAAGCTCCAAAAATGCAGCAGCCTTGCCAGGGAGCAATGACAGTACAATAAGTCAGATTCAGGGTTTTTTCCAGGTTAATAACAGCACAACTTATTGCAGGAGTTGAAAACAAAAGGGAGTGTAAAGTTGTTGCATACAGTTCGTATAAAGCTGACCCTGATGATTGGCCAAAAGGAATATACTGAGTTGGCCAAATAAAGCCTCTCACAGCACTGAGCCTCGAGTTTGCATCCAGATGTTGCTCTCATATTTTCCTTCAACTCAAACATGCTGTCACTGTAAAAATAACACAGAGCAAACAGCCACCCCGGCCCTTTCCTGCTACTCCACTCGGGAATCAGATGGCAAGCCAAGCCAAGAAAGACACCGACCTTCTGCCTTAAGAGTGTACTTGTGAAATGTTCTATTTAGGAATTGCACAATTTTACTATTACTGGGTTTTGTAACAACCAACACCATAACAATATAAAGAAATTGGGGTAACAATATTTGAACCAAGGTGAGATTTAAATGTACTGCCAATGCTGAATTTTAAATCGCCAAAAATATTTGTTGTAAAATACAAACAAACCATGAGTTAGATTAAAATAAAAGACAACATGCTAAGAAAAAACAGATCAAACGTGTAACTTGACAACTGCCACAGTTAATAGTTATACAGTATATGTGTATCTCAGTGTTCATTTTATGCCCAGATAGGAGAATGCCATAGAATGGTTATTAAAAAAAAAACAGTGGGTTCTTACCTGACACCAGGATGTCGTTGCGAAGGGCGCAGACAGCATACTCTGACTTGGTAAACTCAGGTAGTTTGGCCAGTGATCTCCACTCTCCTGTGACTGGCTCATAGCATTCAGTGTAGGGCAGGTTGAAGCCCCCCACTCTCTCACAACCACCCACCACCACGATCACCTCAGAAAAGCCAGTCGACCTGTAAGCAGACAAGGTGAGGCAGAGAGAAAGACATGAACAATGTGGAGATGGAAGGGAAAAACAACACAGTTTAAACTATTGTAAAAAGGCAAGACAAGCATGTTAAATTAAAAGTTCATTACACGAGTGTACAGATTAAAGAATATATATCATATCTAATTAAACCACTGTGTATCTTGAGGCCTATACAAAGGTCATGAAGACAAATAAACATGTCACCACTAGGAGGGATTTCAAATTACACAAAGCTGAAATTTGTACCAGAGCAGGAACAGAGTCGTGGCTTCCAAAGAAACAGCTACACTTATCTTAAAGGCAAAGTTCAATTAACAATGAAAGTATCAATCAATATAACAAAAACAAACTAAGGGCTAGGCTTGAGCTGAATTTCCAAAATCACAAAGCTTTCCTCTCTGGCAGTTTAACACATGCCATGGATATGACGGCATTTCCCAGGGGGAGCTAATTAACTGCAGCTTCTTTTCTTTTTCGGATACTGTATAAAGAATCCCAGTACTTTCTAGAAACCACTGTAAGTACAAATGTGAAACAAAAGTATGTTTTACTTTTATACTTTACCCCACATGGGATATAGGTCAGGCACAGGTGGGAGATGAGAGCTGTTTGTTTCACGTGCGTGTGTTCTATGAGGCAGTCCCAGAGCATTTTGTTTTATGTGTGTTTAAGTACATGCAATGCGTGCTCATGTTATTAATTACATCCTAGACGCTTGCCAAGAGAATATAAAGGCACCGATAAACACAAAAAGGGGAGAACCGGGCATCTGTTTTGAGCAGGAGCAGATTTGGCCCTCAGGGCATACAAAGCTTGCAATGCGAGGACTGATTGGCTGGCTGATTTGAACAGATCTGCCTGGATACTGACACAATACACCTGAAATACACGTCTCACTGCCTGAATAACTGACAGCTGGCACTGTGGTGAGTTGTGAACACACAAAGGCAGCTGTACTGTTGTTTGTTTTACTGCAGGGTACCATATGGTCCATTTTGTATCTTATTCAATGATTTTAGTCAGCGTTGACTTTAGTCCTCTATCTACTAACTACTATATTGTTAATCCAAATGGCCACTCTCCAAACTCACCGTTAATAAAATAACATTTGGTAAACAGGTTATAAGAGAACAGGTGCGTAAACTGAACACATAAGCAAGGTGAGTTACCCTGCTGGTATGAAAACAAGACTCAACATTTCCTTGCCATAACTTGCATCACATAATTTTTTTCAAGCCAACCCGTCGATGTAGGAACATGCTCTGCCTCCCTCATTATCATTTCCATTACAAAACAAGGCAACAAAAGAACGACTCCTTCAATTGACGACTTGTCTGTTCAGTTCAAAAACACTTGTCTATGTCTTTGTGTCTGTCTGTCTGGGTGTCTGTTTTTCTCTCTCTCTTTCTCTCACACACACACTCACCCACATAGATGTAACAACAACACTGCCGGGAGCACCAAGTTCATGAGCATATCGTAACCTCTTGCTATACAATGGGGGATAAATGACCTACTAAGTGCTTAAAAAGACAAGTTCTCTAAACTCGCGCTGACCTCTGTCATCACTGTGTATGAGATGTTCTAACCCAAAGAGACACCTAGCTGTCAGAAAGGAAAAAAACGTGTATTTTTTCTTTGTGAACTGGTGCATAACAAAGCAGAGATAACAGTCATTGATCACTCATGTGACTGCACCACAGCACTGTCAGAACTTAAAAGGTCATACTACTTCCACAAGCCAAAAATGTTCCTCCCAGAAAAAACAGATTCATGGATTATTGCCTGTTTCACATTGCAAAATAGAAACATTCCTCATAACTAGTCGGACAACATTTTAGTTACCTGCGTGGACGAGTTCTGGGTGACATCATTTCATTTCCGAGCACATGATAGCGTCTGGCCTCGTGCAGAAGCTGGTAGCACTCTGGAGCGTTCTGGATCAGCTGGTCTCCTTCCACTGTCTGGACAAAGTAGTTTGGGTGCAGGAGGGGCAGCCGCACATGGTGCAGCAGGGCCTTCAGCATGGGCTTCCTCTGCTCCACACCGTGGTACACCCATCTCATCACTGCCTCAAACACCACCTCCTCCTTACCGATACACAGCTCATCATTGGCAGTGTACTCTTCTAACTCTTCCTTGCGAAGGTCGAGGAACTCCTCATGCTGAGCCACATCTGAGAAGTTGGCCATGGCGTAACTGCGGCAGCGGCTGGCTAGCTGCTTCAGGGAATGAGCATCTGCAAAGCGCTGGATGCCCAGGCAGTTGCAAGGGTCCAGCTGATCTTCAAGAAACTTGGCACAGGCGTCACGCAGTGTGTAGATCTGGAAGAGGCTGGAAGTCTCAAAGAGGAACTGGACATTCTCTGTGGTGATCTTGGCGCGGCCGGTGTAAACATAGGTGAGGAAAGAGTCCATCGCCTCGGCCAGGATGCCGTTGATCTCGACCAGCATCTCACGGCTCTCCCGGTGGTCGTTGCAGAACATGGCTCTGAAGTAGGAGGAGCAGGCAGAGAGCACGGCGCGGTGGCAGGGGAACTCCCGGCCCTGCACGCTGATGACAACATCGGTGAACAGGCGGCTGTCACGAAACTCATTGAAAACCTGCAGGATGTCCTCTGAGTGGGATGAGCCAGAACAGAAGTCCAAGACATCCTGGCTGGCAAAAGTTTTGGAGTCAACCTCAAATACCTTAAGACACAACAACAACAACAACATACATGTATAAAGATTGACATCGTTTTTTACTTTAATTAGGTAAAAAAAAGCATAAAGTGTTTAACTGCACCTTGCGTTTGACAGCTGGTGAATCTTTGATGCCAGAGTCCTCCCTGGTCATCCTTCTGCCCAGAATCAGCACCATGGCTGCCACCTCAGAACGCCTTCACTTAACTTTAGGATGATCTGAGGATGGAGAAGTGCTGTATTATTAAAAAACAAACATATTTTCATAAAATATCAGTATATGTTTTTATAATGGCATTCTATGATGTGGTAGGAGAGGATAGCTCATACATTTAGAAAGTTATAAAACCTAATTGGATCACTGTGGTACAAATTGAGAACATTCACTATGGGTAAACAAACAACAGAGCAAGAGGCAGAAATCACGTGTACCAAAAAAAAGATTCCATGGGGTAGTGTTAATATGCCTTTCATAACGGCTTAATGCAATAAGTAGTTTCAAGGAATGAAACCATAAATCCGTGAGCCGGTCCCATTATATCATCAATGCTGCTAAACAGTTGTGCCCTGCAGCACAATGAACTTGCATGAGATGGAACAACAAAGAGACAGAGGCGGGAAAGAGGACGGTTGAGCATCTCATATATTTCTGTCAGGTTTGTTTTGAAAGAGAGTGGGGGAAGGGAAGCTATCAGCCACTACATAATCATTGTTTGAATAAGTGCAAAGTCAATGCTACTAATAACCTTAAGTCATGTTTTTCTGTAACCTTAGAGATTATTCTACTTAGCAAACAACCAATGTGTTCCATTAACTTTAGTTAGACTCAAAAAAGACTGGGTGTATATTTAGGACAGCCAATTCTCAAGTTCCTGAAGATATCTCATCAACACATTAAACTCTCTGATCTATGATCTCACTGCCGGTGTTAAAGTTGGCAGCAGGTCTGGCCTTTCCTCCTGTGAGGTCAGTAATCGCAGGATATTTTTAACTATGGCCCAGCCTAGGAAGACTTAACCTATTCACGTGTGTTATATGCCTTCAGCAGCACCTACCTGAAGTCAAGAAGACCAGAGTACAGGTTTATCCAGATGTGTGTGACGCAGAAAGATAGAATAAAAAAGAATACAAAAGACTGATCTTTGTCATTATCCTCAGGAACAATACACATTTTGCAAAGCTTATTTTTATGGAGTTAAAGAAAACAAAAAAATAAACACTGTAATAAAAAATAATCTGTGACTAAGACCCATTGAGGGGTACATAAAATAATATTACATTTAAAAATAGCATACAAAAAAACATAACCATATTTTAAAGTGTTACATTTTTAAATCTAACTATTTACTGTGAACTATGTAAAGTAAGATAAATTGACAAGAGAAAAGATAATAATAGATTATACATGTTTCTGTTGTTTTAAATATATATTAAAGCGTTTAATTATCTCATTATGCACCTTAATTTAAGTAGAAATTATAGATAAGTAAATTAAATCTAGGCTATATAGGCATAATGTTTTTCCAGGTAACTAAGAGGAAGAACACACTGTGTTCCGTCTGGTTAGACAAAGGACACTTGCCTCCTGCCGACCGTTACCCCTTGACAACATACTTAACCAAAACACTAGCTTTACTCAGCAGGAGAAAACTTAAACCGAAAAGCCAAAAATACTTATAGATTCAGAACTAACTCATTAAAACTTGCTTCTTTGAGAAAAGTGTTTACCTTGAGCAGATGTTTCCAGATGAGGCTTCCTCTTCAGTTAGTGGACAAAACAAAAACAAAAAAAGTATGGATTTGAGAAATAGTGTATCACTAACTTTTACAATATGCCGTCGATTAGTTATGGCAAACAAAGTAGACGGGACATTGTGACTTTCTGGTGGTGGCAAAAGCTAAAAGATCTAACTAGCTAACAGTAAACACAGAACCCATATATACTTGTCAGGCAGAAAATCCAGCCCACTGCACCCACACAGCTGGTCCTAGCGGTGCATCATGGGTAATTGAGTTAAAATACTAGTTGTCGCTTACTTTTTGCCCAAAGAAAAAACACAATTCCCAAACGCCTCTCGTTTTCCACGTGGCTGTCCTTTGTTTGCAAACAAACTCAGCTTTCGGTGGAGGAAAAGATCACAACAAGAAGTGATACACGCAAAATAATACGACTTATATAGCGTTGTTTAACATTACCGCGTAAAGAACACTTACACACTACGTTGAAAGTGTATTCTAAAGGCAACCATCATTAAATACACTTTGTTATATAATTATTACATAATGCCAGACTAACGGACATGTATTCATATAGTTATAATATCGATATCCAATGGGAAAAAAACATGTATTTGTGGCAAACAACAAACAGCTGTCACGTGAAAAGGACCGTGAAAACAGGATGGAACGCAGCATGCTTGCTTTTCTCTCTCAGGTGAGGGTGAAGGAGGAGCTCAGTTTGGAACAAAGGATGTCACAACTTCCTTACCCTGTTGCAACATATTTCTCAGAGCTCCCAAATGAGTTCCCTGAAAGTGTGCACGATGTTTTCCCAGTTTACACTGTTTTGAAACATGTGAGCAGGGCCCACTGGGGGGGATTTAACCCTTTAAACATTATTATTATTATTCTTTATGGAAAATACAGCTTGGGTACACCATGAAATGTACACACAGCAATATGTATTTATAGACACACACGGTCCTATCTGTGTCGTAAGTAACAGGAAATAGTCAGGCATTATCAAACTTCATCGAAGCAGGATGTCACGTAACCCCTAGATTCCACCGGGTCGATCCGTCTGCGCCGCGTTGCGGTTTTGGTCCGGCCTCCTCCGGCGTCATACCCTACCAGGCGCGTTTCAGAAGCATTTCAGAAGCGGAGCGTCTTGCCTGCCGGCTCGCAGTTTTTGTTGATTTGGGCATATTTCCTGGACAGGCTACTTTGTACAGACAAAGTTAATAATAACTGTAATATTCCAGTTATAAACGACATGAATCAAAGATGTGTTGCTGTATTTTAGTGGTAAAAAAATGCATTCATCATCATAATTATTCTATATATATAATTTACACAGTGCCTGTAAACCGGAGGAGAACGCTGGCATTTCTCCTCCTACTTGAAAGACTACGGAGGGATAGGGTCAGTGGCGGCCGGCCCATAGGGGCGCTAGGGGCGCCGCCCCCCCTCTTCCCACATTAAAAAGAAAAATAATTAAAAAAATTAAAAAATATATATTTAAAAAATATTTTTTTTATTTTTATTTTTAATAAACAAGGTAAATATTATATAATTGGTATCAGTAAAATGTATAATCTACAATAAAATCTCGTTTAAAATTGTGTTACGATGTCTAAAGTTACTGATAAGTCACATGTTTCCTGCCTGGCCTTGCCCGTGTATCATTACTCCCTCTGTTGGATGCTGCTGTACTGAGCATTGCAATATATTTATTTTCACTATGTTATTTATTTATGATTATCCTTGGGCTCAGCAAAGATTTGATGTCTGTTGCTGTCTTTTTTTCTATAGTTACTACTGAAATAGAGCCCTGCTGTTTTGTCAGGGCCTTTTCTTTAAATATAATTTTAAAATGTCGATACAGTAGCCCCTTTTTTAAAATGTCTATGCTTAAGTTTTTATCTCAATCTCAATCTTTATTTATTTATATAGCACATTTAAAACAACCTTCAGTTGACCAAAGTGCTGTACAGGCAATAAATATTAAATAACACAATGGGAGTACAATAATAAAACAATAATTAAAAACATGATAAAAAGCACAATAACTAGAAAAATATTTTTAAAAAAACACATACAAATGTAAAAATGTAATGTTCAACTAGTATTAAAAGCCAGTGCAAAGAGGTGAGTTTTTAGCTGAGATTTAAAAAGTTCAATAGACTCAGCAGTCCGGATATGTACTGGGAGGCTGTTCCACAGTCTAGGACTTTTGTTATAGGTGTTGCTATCTGCTTTGTGTAGCGTGGTTCTACAAGCAAGTCTGTGCATTCATTGGGTGGTATCAGAGAGATACAAGGGTCTGTAAATGCAATGAAAACAATTGGCCACAGCAAATAATTGATAATTGAATAATTGACATGTAATTTTTACTTTTGAATACTTCAGTACAAAGGATGTATTGAATAATTTAAGTGATATGTGTACACATATAAATCATTAGTCAAAACAAGGCTACATTTGATTGAATTATAAAAGGTATAATATGTGGTAAACTGAAGAGCCGTTTGGGAGCCGAAAGAGCCGGCTCTTCTTGGTGAGCCGAGCCAAATGATCCGGCTCACCAAGAAGAGCCGGAATTCCCATCACTAATGCACAGCGCCCAGACGAGAGGGCAGCAAGTGCAGCAGAAGCCAACTGTTGCTATCTTTAAACTATGCCGCCGAAACATAATTTCAGCCAATCAGCGTCGTCAAATCTGATGGTCACAGGGCTCCTACGTGAGCGCCCGGTGCAGTCTGTGAGTTGTTTGGACTCGTATCCAAGGAGACAAAACAGGAAGCTGTCATACACTCTGGAAGCTACCATTAGCAGCTAATGAAAACTCCGTTTTTGACATAAAAATGGAATTATGGATCATCAATCATTTGTGACAGACACATTGGATTAACCTTCAGCTGCGTTTTTCTCGTTTTTGATCAGAATTGTTATGCTGCAAAAGGTGAGCATATCTCCGTGTTTTGCTACCTAAAGCTACGTCGTGTGATGTCTGTATTTGCTTCCCCTGTCGCGAGTTCTGATCGCTCAGTGATGATACTTATATTTCTAGAATCTGGAATCTCAGCTTGTTAGCACAGTTTATGCTGTAGAAACTGTTGGAGCAGAACACCTCTGCTACGCGCCGTTCGTTGGATGAGGCTGGATCTCTATTAAATTAAGAAAGGAATTGAAAACACCGGAATCAAAGTTATAACAAATTATCTGAGTTTACTTCTAGTAGGAAACCAAACACATATACAAGTTATACAGAGTACTCGAGCACTCCGGACTTTCAGGTTTGTGATGCGATGCAGATAAATGTGTCAGGACCATCCACTCATCAAACCAAAAAGAAATTGGACTTCAGGTTTGTGATGCGATGCGGACACAGATATCAGGACCAACAAACTCACCAAACCAAAAAGCATTTTTACACTCAAAAACATCAGTATTCATATCTATTTTTGGGGCGGAGATTTGTCGACTCTTCCTTCCCATTTTCCTCCCAAGCGAATTAGAGAGCCCCTGGGGAGGAGCTGTTTAAACTGCTCACCTCCCCCAAGTGTCCTGATTGGCTGGATTCGCTTCTGGTCGAGGTCAATCAGAGTTCCGAACAGAGAGTGAGATCCTAAATTTCACCAGGTCAAAAGTCAACGTTTATCTCCACCTTATCTACACCACATTCCCTTCCTATGAGTTCTTCACCTATTTAACGATGTCTTTAACGACTTAAAAACAGCATCTGGCTTTTAGGGGTGATACAGGCAAGGTTGGTGTGTGACACAGAATCTCTGGGTCAGTGAGTTTGAAAGTGAGAATAACATTCCTATTTGGTGATTATCAAAACCCGTTTGTGATTACCTAAAACAGTTCAAATTATACATGTTTACTTCAATACAGTGTAGAATCATATCTTTTTACTTCAAAACTATGTCCAGGACAAGGTGTTTGAAAGTTTTGGAAGATTCATAGCTAACCACACTGAAGTTATGGAGGTATTGATCAGTCTTCTCATATTTTTAAGCCTCAATTTGTCCTCCCCCCCCTCTAACATCACCAGAAGTCATAATTTAGGGGTCTTTTCTCAAAAAAAATGCCCCCTAGTATTGTGTGATCACCATTTCCACAGCCCCACCTAAAATATTTTCCACCAGCCGCCACTGTATATATGCTATATATGCTCTGAAGGTTCCACTTCCTGCCTGCCCGACCTTACGTTACGGCTGCGTCGCGACAAAAATAGGATTCGATCCTAATTTTAGAGGAGCCCTGCGCTGAGCCGCTTCTGAGACGCTTCTGAGCCGTAACGCGCCGCGTGTGGTGGAATAGCACCCATTGATTAGAGTGGCCGCGATCGCCGTGAGCACCGCGGCGCAGCCGTAACGCAGCCGTAACGCGCCCGTAACGCGCCGCAGACGAACCCGGTGGAATCTAGGGGTAAGGGCTGTCTTTTGCTTTCAGCTGTCAGATTGTAAACAAAGTCACGTGACTGGGGGCAGATGACAGCGCTGACAACAAGGTGTGTTTTATCGCAGCGAGACGCTACAATACTAATTGTGGGCTTATCATGTTGATTCGGCCACAACAGAAAGCCTCTTGCTCTCTCCAGAGGGGCAGCAGGTCAGCCAAAAAGGGCAAAAGGGCCGTTGCCCGGGCAGCACGTCCCTGCGTCTAAATATAGGTATAACCAGGGCCGTCCCTGGCCAACTTGGGGCCCCAAGCGACTTTGGGAGTCCCAGCAGCTTCTACTGAAGCCAGTCCCCAACTCCGGGGACTTCCGGCCGGGGACTCCGGGTGGCAGTATACGCTGTGAAGTTGTTTGCGGCCTGCCAGTAAACCCAAAGCAGAAGAAGACGAAGTGACGTCAGCGGCTCATTTGCGTAATCTTCCCTCAGGGAATTTATGTGTGAACGCGATCTGTACTAAATGCCCTGAGCCGCGTTCACACCAAGTACTTTCCTGTACTTAGTTCCAGCACTAAGAGCCCCGGCGCTTTTAAACCCAGGGCACTTAGTACAGATCGCGTTCACACCGGAGTACTTTTCCCTGAGGGAAGATTACGCAAATGAGCCGCTGACGTCACTTCTTCTTCTTCTGCTTTGGCTTTACTGGCAGGCCACAAACCACTTCACGGCGAGTACAGTAGGTGGCGGTATGCACCTTAAAGTTGTTTGCAATCCGCTGCAAAACAAGAGAAGAAGAAGAAGAAAAACTTCCCGCGTATACTGCGA